AGCCCACCTAAGCAATTGGGATAACAAAGTCATCAACATTCAAGAGAAAACTAAAGAGGTTTGTGTCATTTATCCGATCAAAATTCATAAACCATATCATAAATTAATAATTCAACTCCCTAATATTAACTTTCCAAATTCTCAAACATTTGAATCAGATGGCCTTCCTCTCATCTCTGAGGCAGATTGCTGGCATAAAATCAGGCTCATTATCTGACTCATTCATGACTGAGTTCTTTAAGCTAGTTCTAGGAACGCTTTCTCTCCCTATTGATCTTCCTGGCACAAACTACCACCGTGGATTTCAGGTGTGATCATTGATCTTTTCCCATCTTGGTGCTTAGTATGTGTTTGAAAACACATTAGAAATCTGGCAAACTTGATCCAACGCAGCAGCTATAACTAATATAGTTGAAATAAACGTGGATCCATGTGCATTCTAACGTGAATCAAACACACTGTTATTTCTTTGCATGAAAATTTTGACCATGGTAAATGGAGATGAAAAATGCATGAATATTTAATATAGGCCTATTTCACTGTGTCTTGCAGGCAAGGACGAATATAGTCAACATTCTGAGTAAATTATTAGAGGAAAGGAGAGCATCCAATGAAATCCATCATGACATGCTTGGTTTCTTGATGAGAAGAGATGAGAATAGATACTCACTAAGTGATGAAGAAATCATTGATCTAGTAATTACAGTTATGTATTCTGGTTACGAAACTGTTTCAACTACATCAATGATGGCTGTGAAGTACCTCCATGACCATCCCAAAGCTCTAGAAGAACTTAGAGTGAGTGCAAAATTCTCTTTGTTTCTTAGGTATAATGTACTGATATATATATATATATATATATATATATATAGAGTAGTTATGTTTTCTTTGCTGACTATGTGATGTGTGGAATATATGTTACAGAAAGAGCATTTGGCCATAAGAGAGAGGAAAAATCCAGATGAGCCAATTGACTTCGATGATCTCAAATCAATGAGGTTTACTCGTGCGGTAAGAATTGTATGCCATTTCCAATTACATTGTTCAGTTTTGTTTTTCTAATAATTGCAAGAAGATTTGATCAAGTTTTGAACACTTTGCAGGTGATTTTTGAGACCTCTAGATTGGCCACAATAGTTAATGGGGTCCTAAGGAAAACCACTCAAGACATGGAATTAAATGGTGGGTTTTTATTAGGTGTTAGGTTCCTATAGCTTTTGCTGTATTTTTGGGCTCAAGAAGCTAATTTTTTGACTTTTAGGACTTCACTTTTTGGTCACTTCAGCAAACCAATATAAAATGTGTAAAACTGAACTTCAAGAGAAATTTATCCCCAAGATAGTGATAATATATACACCTGGCATTTTTTGCCATCAATGCAACAACCACACAAAGACAATTCCACTATAAAACAAGATTTCCAGATAAGGAGGTGCTTTGCCCCCAACTTTTTTTGGCCTTTTAGCATTAAATTAAATGCTGTGCTGAGAGTTGGCCAAAAGAAAAGGGAAAAAAAGTAAGAATGAATGAAAGAAAGGGGGGGGGGGTCCTTAACGGATTTTACACAAGCATGCAAGTATTTGACTATTCACAATAAATGCCATCATCTTCTTGTTGCAATTAATAGTCTTGCTAAATCCATATTGTTATTTTCAGGCTATTTGATTCCCAAAGGATGGAGAATATATGTGTATACAAGAGAGATAAATTATGATCCTTTTCTTTATCCTGATCCATTAACATTCAATCCATGGAGATGGCTGGTTAGTTCAACAACCTATTCCTCTTACTTTGCTTATGCATGAAATTCCTATAAACACCACTATATCACCATATTAATAACCTTCAAATGAAAAATGCAGGGCCAAAATCTAGAGTCAAAAAACTACTTCTTGATATTTGGAGGTGGCACCAGACTTTGTCCAGGAAAAGAGTTGGGAATAACAGAAATTTCCACTTTCTTACACTACTTTGTAACTAGATACAGGTGTGACTGATTTACCTATTCAACATCTAGACCTCATAAAATAGCATGTTTGGTTGGCACAAATAATTAAAAAAGAACAATCTTATTTTTTCAACAATTATTTTGCACCATTGGTCTCACTAACTGGTTTTGACTTTTGACCAATCTAGATTCTCCATATACTTATAATATATCTACAAAATAAATTATCCATCATTAAGCACTAATTTGTCTGCTTTGAGAATTTATATTGATTTAAAGCTGTTTCTGACATCTTATTATATATTTAATGTCCATTGCAGGTGGGAAGAAGTAGGAGGACAGAAACTAATGAAATTTCCTAGAGTTCAGGCACCTAATGGACTCCACATAAGGGTGACATCTAAGTAACTAGTAACTAGGCAGTGACTGTATGTATGTACAGTAATGAGATGTAGCAGATGGTAGAGCTTGTGTATGACAATGATCTAACAAATAATAGAAAATGAATGAGATTGAATTTTCTTCTCTCATTTCCCTTCATTTAATCTCTTCTTTTTTTTTGTCCAAAGTGCTTCCGTTTAACCTCCATGGATCATGATCAACAAAAATAGGCCCAATTGTTGATTGAGATTGAATAATAATTATAGAAAAACATTAAACCTTCTAGACCAGACTCAAATAGTACGTAATGTCCGTTTAGATAATTATCAAAATCAATATTATATACTGTAATAGATGTTCAATAACAAAGTCCTACTTCAGGGGTTAACAAGTTAAATTGTATATTAATAAAATATTATAAGATATTATGCATTTATTATTTAGCTTTCGACGTGAAATTTTCTTTGATTCACATATTCAATTATTTATTAACAAGATTCTACAAGATCTAATCCATTTATAACTTGATTTTAGATATTAATATACAAGATATTCTTTATTTTTATATTTTGTTATTTGTTAATCTGATACTATTATTTTATATATATATATATATATATATATATATATATATATATATTAATACTATTATATTTGACACTTCTATTATTTGGCCTTGAATATATATAGATAAAATTTTCTTTGATTCACATACTTTATTATTTATTAATAGGATAATACAAGATTTAATGTATTTATTATTTATAATTTTGGATATGATATAGTTAGATTTGATGCATATATTATTTAGCTTTGGATATTGACAGGCAACATTTTCTTTTATTTGAATATTTAATTATTTTTAATAAGATATTTTAAGATTTGATTATTTGTTATTTAATTTTAGATATTATTATACAAGATATTCATATTTCTATATTTCGTTATAAATACTTGAAATTATACTAATAAATCAGTCATTTTAATTCTTTAAAATAATAAATACTTGTTAATTTAGTGCTTAAAATTATAGAATATAATGTTTGGTTCCTAGAATTATCATAAATCAATCCTTTGAATATCTGAAATTATAGGTATTCATCAATTTATTCCATGGAATTATGATAAAGTAACTTAGTTCATAAAATTACATATATTATGTCAAATTCGTCTAACAATGTGATAAGTTAAATGTCAACATGATATCTGTGATTAACCTTATAATTAAATTACATATTTTTATTTTATATAAAAATTTAAGAAAATATTATATGTTGATAGCACGACTATTGCTTTCTCTTTCACTTTAGCTTCATTAAAAATTTCATTTGCGCGCAATACTATTTGCTAATTTCATAATTTTTGGAGTATTATGAGAAAATATTAGGACTACTCATTGCTAAGTTTTATGTCATATATGCACCACAGTGATGCTTCTTCCCCATCAAATATGTTATTAGATGAATTTAGAAAAGATTAATGAGATGGAGCAATTATTAAAATTTATTTAGATAATTAAATTTTAAAAAAATATTTTAAGTGATGACTAATGAACCATAGATGCTGTTTGTTCCACCACAAAAAGAGTGGGGAACAGATGCATAGCAGATAAGAGGAATTTGATTTGATCAACGATCATTATGAATTCGATCCAATGAACAGAAAAGAGAACAAGGTTTCGGTGGATGGATTAGAGAAAATGGCTAAGAAAGAACTTGGTTTGATCCAAAAACAAGAATTCGGTGTCAAACTCTTGGGATGAAAAATTGAGATTAGTCACTGCATTTTACCACTCTTTGAAGGCACATGACCATATAATTTCTTATGAATCTTCTCCAACTCCATCTATAAATGATAAACAAACGACCTTAAGTCCTGTTTGGCATTGCTGAAAGTTATAGCAATCTATTATCAAAGGTTGACCTGTAAATGATAAAAATGAAATTAAAAGCTAAGAGTAGAGCCAAGTTTGTTTGTGTTGCCACAAGAATTTTGTATTATAGTATGTGTTTTTCCTCTTCATAGTGTTGAGTGCTATCACATGAATACTTATAGGTTTGAGATATAAGCTTTGAATAAAACTTTTGGGTATTTATTATTTCACTAAACTGAGACTTGATCGACCTTTCCTTAAAAATTTAAGGCTTTTTTTTTATGCCTAAATATTATGATATATGCGACTGAGTTGGCATCTTGATGGTCGTTATCCACCTGTTAGAATCTAAAATTGTTCAAAGGAATTTTTTTTTTTAGAAATAATTGGATATTACCAATGGTTTATAAAACTTAAAAATTAAATAACAAAAATAACCATAAAATGAGTAGTGCAATAGCAAAATATTATCACACACACACACACACACACATATATATATATATAAAGGTTTAATACATTTCAAAAATTAAATTTTAAAAGTCATTTACAAGTCATTTTCAACATCTAATTTTTGAAGTAATTATATACCTTAAAAATCAAATTCCATAAATCATTTACAGATAAATTCCAAAAATTAATTTCAGAAATAACATTATACAGTCCAAAAATTAATTTCTGCAAATAATTTACAAATAACTTTTCATAATTTAATTTCTAGAAGGTAAAAATACAGCTCAAAAAATTTAATTCTTGAAGCATCAATAGAAAAAGTAATCCGAATAGAGGGAAAAAAACAGTACAATTAATAAACCGCTACTTCACTACACACAACTTTTAAATGAATCCAGATTGACAGCATATTCAATCTAGTCAATTAGTTTGAAGATGAATGGGGTGAATGTTATTTATCTATTACATACTATTGCTCCACAAAAACCATTTGCCCCACACTCCATGTGCGTTACCCAACTACCACCAGCTAAGTAACGTAAAAATGCATCACATCAGCAATGAATGGTATTGGTATAATAATAATAATAATAAACGGCCTACAAATACTAATGGTAGTCTTTACACTTAGTGTGATGACGATGAGTCAGTATCCCAGCAAATTTTTGGAAGAAATAAATAGATAAACTTTATAAAATCTGTATGAAGTGTCTCTTACTAAATCTGCTTTACTCAAGTAGGATTGCTGCAACCAAACTTGCCAAATATCCAAAATCCTAAGTTCCTAACCTGAAATATATTTTTCTAGGATTGCCTAAGATGCAATTCTTCCAAATAAAAACTTAAAGACCAGTATCCAAATTTGCCTATAAATTTGCTTTTTATACACACAAACAGTATATAATTACATGTCATGTGCCACATATTCCTACAACAAGGAAGTACTCATGGGATTGGCGAAGAAATGCTCTCGGTAAATTGACTTTGATTGGTTGGATTCGCTTCCAATAAGATCCTGAAGTGCGGAGGGGGCCACATCATATATATTTTGATGCATCTTTCTCACAATTAGGTGTTTATCCAAAACCATCAGTTCCAAGAATGTTCTACAGCTCTGTCAGAAACTTGAATCAGCATATACAGCCATCACCAGCGTACAAACACAAAGGGTAAATAACATTGTAATAAATTGGAGTTATATGTTGAGAAACTTAGGTTTTTAAAATCCTATGCAAGAATCTTCTCGAGTTTCATAGTATACATAGATCCTCCCTTGTTTCACCTATGGAAGGATAAAATCTTTGATTGCAAAACACACAGACACATACAAGCGGGTGTAGGAATAGATTTGGCAAACCATTGGAGGCTTTTTTGCATAATCCTGCCTCTGCAGGGGTGTAAAGGCAGTTTCCTGTAATACCTCAAAAACGATCATTGACTCAAACTTATCTTTAAAAGATTTTTCTATTTATTAAAAAAAGAATAAAATCCCCAGAGAGTAAAAATGCATCGAGGTAAAGATTTCACCCATTTGACACAAAGAACATATTGCCCTGAATCAGGTATCATGACTTAGTAAAGATTACAAGTCATAATGACTATTTCTGAATATAACAATTTCAGAATAAAAGTCTAGACATTTGAAATTTTGGTAGAATACCTGCGGATTAAGCACTTGCATCTGCTGTAGAATATCATCCTAACACACACAAAATGAAATCATCAGTAGATTTTTCCATGTCTTAATGAAGTACCAAAAATGGTAAAACTAGATTTGCATTGCACCTCAAGTTAATATTTATTATGTAATCATTCTTGTTTTCAAGATAAGTACATCTGTCAGTTTGCATTACAGCTGGTCATTCAATAACTTTCATTTTAATATTTAAATGTCGATTATGTGCCAACTTGTGGTTTAGCCTGTTATCACAACCACTTTATTCAGTTTGTTGTTTTTCTTTGCATTTTGCAACAGATAATGATGCAGGAGCAGTAAAAAAAATAATACTAATTAGCAGCATGCCCCAAATTATCAAAACTGGAATTCTTTGCTCCTATATACTCCCCCTTCAAGAAAAGGGAAATATATTAACAATAATTTAAAAAGCAATGAAATCAATTTATAATTAAAAGGCTAATAAAATATACTTTTTGTTCTCTATGTTTAGTTAAAGTCTTGGTTTTGTCACTTCCTGTTTTCGTTTTTGGTCAATTTGATTCTCTAACTCATTTTTTAGTTACAACATTTTGCTTTAAATCAAATTTGTTACCCCACTTATGAACATGGCATAAACACCATTAACTAAATATTAGTTGACATCCCAAATGTTGATTTAATCAAATGGGTGTAAAGTGAAACTTAAACACTTGATGCAGAGGACTGATAATTTTGCTGTTTTGCACAAAGAAGATATCTATGCTTCTTCCCCATTTTTCTGACGACAGAGATGGTGGCCACAAGTGTTTCCAGTGGTGGCTGGGTTCATTTAGCGATGCATGGAAGAGGAAAATGCAGAAGTATGAATGTTGCCAAAGGTGATTCTGATTAATTTTACTAGAAATTCACAATTAAAGAAAAAGGTGAGGCAAACTACAGCTCTTATACTATGCCCCAAACCCATCACAAGCTCCCATCACCTAAACACTTCACTCATCTTTGCATAAAACAACCAACCACCACCACCCCCAATCAAACTCAAGCCAAGATGTGCCATGCCATAATTGGTTTTCTTTTGGCACCTTTATTTAGATGCATTTAGTCCTTTGTTAGTGTATTAGTTTATTTATTTATTTTTTTGAGTCATGGGCGTTTAATGGTGGAGCTGAAAATTAGTAAAGAAGAAAATGGAACCTAGTCAGAATTAACAACATTTTGAGTGGTGAGTTACCAATTAGAAAGAACTTAAACAAGTAATGCCACGTACATGCAACATTACATTTATGTTAAGTGGGAAAGCAGATTTGAAAGAAAGGAAGCATTGTAACTGAAAAATCAGTTAGAGGACAAAATTGACAGAAGAAAAAAGATAAAGAAACAGATTGAAACTTCAAATAAACATAGAGAATGTATAGTACATTTTAGTCTAACTAAAATAGGGCCACGTCAATATATTAAAAGTGTCAACAACATATTATCTAACATACTCTTTCCAACATGTTGAAATTTATTGACTTGAAAAATGGCATGAGGCCCACACCCTATAAAGTGAGTTTCACTTGTAATTTTGTGATTCCGCATAAATTTCAATTAGGAGTGTGATAGGAAGAATGTGTTAAGAGTGTTGCTAGCATTCCATTCGTCAATAAAATGAAGTCCCATATATTTGCTGAATACGTTAACCCAATTCATTTCTAAAGGATGACACCACTAAAAAGGTTGAAAAAGGATAGGGTAAAAATAAATCATTTTTCATTAGTCTCTTTGTTGTTTTCGTTAGGCCCTCTTAACTCTTAAGCAATGGGAAATTTGACCTGAATAGTGCAAAATATTAATATGCAGCAACACTCACAACCAATCCCACATCAAATTTCTATGAAAATTTAAATACATAAAATAAGAAAACATTATAAAGATGGCATATACCTCCAATATCCCTGGGTTTTGCATCACTATTCCAAGAACATGACGTCTGAGTCCCCTGTAAACAAAGTTGTTGGTGGTCCCATCTCCATTGATCCATGGCAATATTGGCACACATAATTCACCAGAATAAAATTTAAGTGTTTCTTTGTCGTGATCACCTCTAGAAAAGCCAAATGTGTCTTGCTTACAGCATTCATTCCTATTGCTAGCTTGATTTTCAGAATTCACATCCCCATGTGGAAGATTAAGTATTGTAACTTTGTGCACATTATCAATAACAGTGTTTCTTTCTCTCATGGTATGAACCGAAGTAGTATCCCTTTCATCTGATTTGTAAAGCTCACATGTATCATTGCTTTTCTCAATGTTTTTGGTTGAGGAAGGTTGAACAACACAATGAAAATCAGAAGCAGGTGTCAAAAAGTACTTTTGACGGTATAAGGCATCAACAACACGGACACTATCATAAGCATTGACCTATATAGCAAAGAGAACAAATTATTATGAATTTCAGCAAAAATCTTTCAATTACTTCAGAGAGGTAAAGAGCTCAAATCACTACTGCTGTTGTAAACTACCTCAGCAGTATATATATATATATATATATATACACACACACACACACACACACACAAGGAAGTTCCAGTTCTGTTGCATATAGTTCCAAGCCAGTTAAAATGGGTATACATTTGCACCATTACCAGAAATTCAATAAAACTGAACAAATAAGAATCACTTAAGAAACAGGTTAACTGTACCATAGCTTCCACTGCGGAAGCATAGATGTAACTAATCTATCAATGCACAAAGCAGCACAACTCTGAACAACAGAGTGCCATAACAGCAGCAGTTTCTGAAATTCAAAAGTATTCCAGACTACTAAATGCACGTTCCGAATAATAATAGTTTGCACACCCCACATCCTAGGTTGGGTGTGTAAACTAAGTTTCATCCACAAATGACAAGTTTGGCAAAATCATGGTTTGGTACTTGGGTTGTGTTTCAGTACGATATGGGTCTCAAACCATGGTTTAAGTAGAAGTAGGAAAAAAAAGTTGCTTTTCTGTTACGTCAGACCATCAGTTGAAAACTATAATCTGGACATGCCATAAATTGATGGAACAAGGAAAGGGGGGAGGAACCTTTAAGGCTTGGCCAAATGCTTGAAGAGCATCAACAATCAATCCATCTACCTCTGCTCCTGAAAGACAAAAAGTAAAACTGTAAGTTTAAATAAATGAAAATCTTTATATAAAGTAGCTGATTTCAACTTAAATTCCATATTTGGTTAAATCTCAGAATCAATACCTGGCAAGTTTATAACTTGGGAAATTTCTCTCATGCTTAATCCTTGGTCACCAGCCTTTTGGATAGAAGCATAAACGACCCTGAAGACCTCAGCACAAATGGCATAGGCATGTTCTTGATTGGAAGATTCTGACATCAAACGTCGTGCATAGCATGCCATAGCTTCCCAGGGTGATTCAACATGACTTTCTTCCAGAGGTATTGGGTCAAAAGTGTTAGTGACTTCTAACATATGGTCAGGCTCAGGAAGTGAATAATTACTGCTTTGGCTTATGTTTGATTGGAAATTCAACTCAAAAGGTTGGCCATTGTTATCATTATCCTTGAACAAATTTAAAATATCAGCTCTTGAAATTGTTGTGTGATGTGCAGAAATTATGATACCAGGAAAACCTTTTTCCCGACGAGATATAATTTCTCCTTCTACTCCAAACAAGGACTTCAACTTTTTAGCTTTATCACTATAGGAAGACTCAGTAGCATCATATTTACGCTTTGCACTTCTCAAATCTTCAGCCTCTCCAACACCATTATCTGGTAGGCATGGTGAAATTGAAAGTTCGCCAGATGAGACTAAAGCAAACAAATGAAAAATGTCCCCACATTGTAGATCTTCAGCAAGATTAGCACCCACTTCTGTGAGTTCTTTGTCTCTTTCCCGCAGCCATGCAGAAAATTTAACAGCTCGCTTTCCAGTATTAAATGGAAATGGTGACTTGGAAACACTATGCAAGAATTGCTGTGATAATTCAAAACGTTCACTGCCGTTGCCCCCAACCTGTCAAATGTCAAGGCAATTAGAACTTGTACAAAAACACACGCATTCAGGTTGTCTACATAAAAACATTAACTATTAAGAGAGAGGAGAAAGAAACAGAAAAAGAAATCAGGCAGTAAAAATCTTAAAGTGAAATGCAGAGTAAAATTAATATAAATGGAAACAATACCCAAAACAGTAACAAACTTTTAGAATGCTTGGTGTTCCATGAAGTCTTTTAAGCTCAAAGGAAAATGTCTACTATAGTTAGTAACGAGTTATTTGTTAGATCGAGTTCTAGTAAACCTAAGAAGCAAGAACAAGACTGCAACACCCCTGCCCTGATTACCTTTATCTTATTTGGGGTTTCATAGTGTGTGTGTGTGTGTATTACTAAATTTGTAGCTTGAATAAGTATTGCTTCAAATACACAAGTATCTACGACCTAGCTTGAGGGGGGAATGTAGGAAGTTTCATGTTAGTATATACACATATTTTAATCCATACTCGATATATTCTTGTAAACCTTTGCCCATATGTATAGAACTTGGTGACTAATCAGTCTATATGGATATATTTACAATCTGTACAGCATGCAGTATACAATGGAAGCTGATGTTATTCTAAGGGCTAACATGCAGGAATTAATGACATAATCAGCTAAGAATCAGGAACAGCTAATTAGAATTATACATGTGCTTCATTATATCACTAACAAGTATATAGACATGTTCTCACCAAATTAAGTCAACACTAACACAAATCATTCTCTTAGCAGCCACGTTACATATCTTTTTTCTCATGTTAAGCTACAACCTACTTTTATGATAAAGATTACTTTGTTTACAACAGACATTAGAGTTTAGATATGCAAGTCTACACACCCACAGACATTTTATGATAAAGTGCTTTAGAGATCACTAAATAAGACCAAACATGATATGGAAGCACATTCTTCAGTGTGTGCAGTATGCACTATAAAAATATATGATGCAGATAGCATATAATTATTTAACATGATGACCAATATAAAGATGACTACAGCAAGTAACAGTATAGGGTTGAATTAAACACAACCAATTAATGTTGCATCTCATGCAATAAACACAAACTATGAGAGATTTAGAACAATTTACCATGATTTTTTTCTCTCTAAGATAGTTAAAAGCAGCAAATAGATCATGCTCTGAATATCGCCGAAGAATGTCAGCTAGTAAATTTGGTGCTCGAGGACCTGTTGAGGTGCTTAAAAAAACAAGTTTAAATAGCTCTATGGCATTTGAGACAGCCAATGATTCATATACTTGTCCATAACCATTAGCCCTATTATTCAGAAACCTAGTGAATTTTTTATCAAGGCGACGCCGACGTGATCTTTGGGCAGAAAATGTTTGGGGCTTCCTGTGATGACTATGAATAATTTCACTAGGACTAGCGGATGTAATTTCTTCATTTTCTTGAGATTCCTGCCATAAAAAAGATTCCTTAGTCAGACAGCTTCCAAAATAACTGAAGACTGTATGACAAATTATATAAAAAAGATTCACCCAAGAAGGATAATGAGAGGAGAGAAAAAGGAAAAATATGAATATAAAAAAATATTAGATCAAGCCAGGAATATCTCATTTAGATACTTGGAAGTAATGACTTGACATTACTGTTGTTAAAGACTTAGAGAATTACATATCCATCAGCTTTTTCATTTGCATCCGACCACCCTTCATATTGCAATTGAACTTTTTGTGAGGAGGCATCCAGCTTAGCCATCATCTTGCAGCGAAGAATCTCACCAAGAGCTGTCTTGATGCCTTTGTTCTCAAAGTCATCCCAAGCTTCTCCGTTAAGACTTGTCATTTGAGTTTCAACATCAGGACTAAAATTATTGTGGACACCTCCATAGGACTGGGATCGCACAAACTGTTTGCAATCATCTTTGTTTAATGACAAGTTCTGGGACTTCTCCAATTGCTTTGCATATCGTTCACTGAGCATGTTACAGAGTCTATTCACAGCTTTCCTAAATCTCATGTTACTATTCAGCAAATTCATTCTTCTCATACAAGCGCTTGGAGGAGCTGGAAGATCAGAAATTGAAGTCCAATCTATGCGATGATATTTGGCACCAAGAATGGCACGGTGTTTTACATATTGGATCACCAGTTGCCTGAAATGACATAAAATCACAGATACTCAGACAGCATAGACAATAACGTATGTAAGTCTCAGGGGAAAAAAAATCAGTGCTGTGCATTGTAAAGCAACAAAGTAATTATTGAGCTCTCTTTTGAATTAAGCTTGGGATTAAGGTACCACTAATAATGATAACAAAATCTATACATTCACTATATTAATCAATTCAGAACAAACTAAAAACACAGGTATTGATGCAAGAATACCATGCAATGCTTCATTACATTTGGCTTTAATATATATATGATCCAACTTCAAAGAGCCCTCATTTCCACACCTTCTAGAATCAAAAGTAAAATAATTACTTGGCTTATCATTTAGCAGATTCCTAACATTTCTCTTACCTATCAGTTTTGTCTGACCAAACAAATCTCCTTTGGCGCGTTGGCTTCATTTTGGTTAAGACACACTGGCTAATAAGGGGGATACAGTCTTGGGAACCCTCAACTTCATTATCATCCCCCTCAGATTCTTGCATATGGGTGGCATGCTCTCCTGAATGTACACCCAAATTATGTGGTTCTATGTGCATGCCCGCAAAATCAGTTGCTGCATCGATTCTTGCATGTTTTGCTGGCCTGAGATCAGTGGATCTTTTTCTCCTGCGACAAGATGAACTGCCCTTGTATTCAAGTAAATTATTATCTTTCCCCTCATCTTTAAACTGATTAAGGCAACGGCGACGCTTGCCAGAATACACACTAAGTACCTACAAGTGAAAATGTAGAATTCAAATTAAATAATAAAACACATACTGGAAAGAATTACAACATACAAGAGTCACTCATCTTGAAACAGTGGCAATGATACTCAATGATTTAAATTTTATTTTACATAAATAAACAAGAAATCACTTTTCCTCATTAAAAGTTCTAAATTTTGGGAGTTCACTTCCCATAGACACCACAGTTTTCAGTATAATTTACCAAACTTGTGTCTCTAAAACTACAAGTAACAACAGGTTTCAAAAGCAAAATCCATGACTAATTAATCCTAAATTGGTAGGGCGATGGATCCAGTCCTGGGCTCAAGCAAACCACCTGTGTTACAGGTTTATTCAGGAGGCATTGTGATAGGAATTGAATGTATTTATGGAATTAACACCGAAACCTCAGGGAATACCCTGGTAGTACAAACAGAAAAGTGAAATAGTAGAAAGGTAATAATGACGCAATGGAAACTTCTCCTAAGGCAGCAGCCACCCCCAATCACCTCCCAGATATTTCCTACCTCTTCACTTTGATCATCTACCTTATATCCCTCCCTCAGCCGCTCCCTCCCTCCTCCACGTTACTAAGTTTGTTATTCCGTTAGAATCTTCCCTAACAGCCTCCCTGCTCACGATCCTTTTTTTACCCCTCCTTCTCTGGTATGTTTTTAGTAGAGGCCCATTTGGCTTGGACCCAACAATACCCACCCCCCTCCCCATTGAGAGGAACCTTGTCCTCAAGGTTGAAGTGTGGAAATATGGCCTGCAACAGATCAAATTCTTCTGTTAAAAATAGGGGCAGAGCTTGACTGGGTCGACTAGTAGGGGGGCTTTTTAAGCTGGGAAACATGGAAAATAGGGTTCATTTACCCTCTTTGCCAATGACTTCAACCTATATGGTCGAGCCTTCAAGTACACCATGTCCCCAATCTAATCTTCCACTTCTCGCCGCCCTTTATCCGCCTGCCCTTTCATCCTCAACTATGCTCTAAGTAAGTGTTGTTTAAGCTCCTCTATGATGCTATCCCTCAACAACAATAATTGGTCCACCTTAGCCACCACAGTGCTATCCCGACAATAAGGGATAATCGTAGGAGGGTCTCGGCCATAAAGTGCCTTGAAAGGGGTCATCTTAATAGAAGCGTTGAATGAAGAATTAAACCAAAATTTCCCGCATGGCAGCCAATGCACCCATTGGCGTGGATGATCACTCGCAAAACATCTCAAATAGGCTTCAATGGTACGGTTGGTGACTTCAGTTTGGCCATCCGTTTGAGGATGGTATGCCGAACTGAATTTCAACTTGGTGCCCGAGAGACGAAATAATTCCTTCCAAAATGAACTAATGAAGATTCGATCCCAATCTGAAACTATGGATGTAGGAAAACCATGCAAACAAACTATTTCTTTTACAAACACTGTGGCTACCTCCTTAACTGAATATGGTTGAAGTAAGGGAATGAAATGGGCGTATTTGCTTAGCCTATCGAACACCACCATAATGCTGTCAGCTCCCTTAGCCTTGGGAAGTCCTCCAATAAAATCCATCGAGATATCTTCCCATACATGCATTGGAATGGGTAAGGGCTGAAGCAAACCTGCAGGTTTCAAGGTTTCGTGTTTGCTTTGTTGACAAATTTGACAGCCGGCGACGAATTTTTCCACATCCTGCTTCATCCCCGTCCAATAGAAAATCATGGCCAACCTTTTGTAAGTCTTTGTCACTCCAGAATGCCCCTCCCCCCAAGGTGAGGCATGGAATTCTGCCAACAATAATGGAATACAGGCAGACTCCTTAGGGAGGACTAGCCGCTGTTTATACTACAAGCACCCTTGAGAAATTGCATAATGTGGATGGGAATTAGGGTGAGACACTATCTGCTGCATGATTCCCTTCAACACTTCAACTCCAAGAACCTCCTCAGCTAAATCGACTAGGTCGGCGTTAGTCACCATAGATATGACATTATAACTCATCATCCTAGACAACGCGTCAGCTGCCTTATTTTCTAGCCCCAGTTTGTACTGTATTTCAAAGTCGAAACCCATTAGCTTGGTTACCCACTTTAGCTGTTCCCCCGCCAAAACACGTTGCTCTAAGAGGAACTTCAAACTCTTTTATCAGTTTGGATAATAAAGTGATTGCCCAACAGGTATTGGAGCCATTTCTAAACAGTAAACACAATTTCCATTAGCTCATGTTCATAGACTGATTTCACCTTGTTTTGGTCTGATAACGCGACTAATAAATGCTAAGGGTCGACCTTGTTGCATTAAAACTACCCCTACTCCATATCCTGAGACGTCAATTTCAATCACAAATGGTAGGTCAAAGTTTGGCATGGCTAAAGTGGGCAAAACCTCCATCTCCCTCTTAAGCTGGTCAAAAGTCGTTTGTGCCTCTTCTGTCCATTTGAAATTATTCTTCTTCAGTAACTGAGTGAGGGGCTTAGCTATAGCACCATAATTCCGAACAAAGCGGCGGTAGTACCCGGTTAACCCCAAGAATTCCCCTCAAACTGCGAATGTCCTTGGGTGCTGGCCATCGAGTCATAGCAGAAATCTTTGCAAGGTCAACAGAGATTCCAGCAGAGGATATTATGTGCCCAAGATACTCCAGTTGTGACTCTCCAAAACTGCACTTTTTACCATTGATCCACAGCTCTTGGCTTCTTAGCAAATGAAGAACTACACCCAAGTGATCAATATGGGAAGAGTAATTTGGGCTATATACTAAAATATCATCAAAAAAGACTAATATGAATTTACGTAAATAGAGTTTAAAAATCTGATTCATCAATGATTGAAAAGTTGAAGGGGCATTGGTTAACTCGAATGGCATTACCACATACTCATAGTGTCCTTCATACGTCCGGAAGGTTGTTTTAGGTATATCCTCTGTCTTCATGCGAATTTAGTGATAGCTGGACTTCAGGTCGAGTTTAGAGAAGACTGTGACCCCTCACAGCTCATCCAATAGTTCTTCAATGATTGGAATGGGAAACTTGTTTAGAACCGTGATACTGTTAAGGGAGTGGTAATCCACACAAAAGCGCCAACTACCATCTTTTTTCTTGACAAGAATCAGTGGGCTAGAATAGGGGCTGGTGCTGGGTCTGATCAAGCCTGCTACTAACATATCCCTCACGAATCTTTCAATCTCTTCCTTATGGCGATGAGGATGCCGATAAAGACGAATGTTAGGAATAGTAGCCCTCTCTTTTAAAACTATGGCGTGGTCACATTCCCTTGGGGGTGGGAGAGCTGTTCCCTCTTTAAACAACTCCCTAAACTCCCTCAATAGCTCCCTTATAGCCTCTGGAGCTGTTGTTGCCACCAGAGTGGGTAGCTCTGTACATCCCAACTTAATCATACCCAATTCTACATAATAAGCCTCAGCCTCCCTTTTTAACTCCTTTCTAATGGCCTTTAATGAAGCCACTGTCCGTGATAGCCCCACGTCCCCTTTCACCTCAATAATTTTCCCATCCTTGTGCACCTCAATCAAGTGCTGTCGCAGGTCAGCACTAAATTTTTCTAAACTCTTGAGCCATTCGTACCCCAGAACCACGTCCACCCCTACCAAGTCGAACAAGAAAAAGTCCTGAATTACATGTAAATTGGGTAACTCCAACACCACCTCCCTACAAACTCCATGGCTTCCCAACCTTTGTCCATCTCCCACTTCAACAAAGTACCCCTTCGTGGCCTCTGTGAGAATATTTAGCTCTTTTACCAAACCCGGTGACAGGAGGTTGTGCTATGCCCCCGAGTCCACCATCACAATTACCCTCTTACCCAAGATCAGTCCCCATAATTTCAACGAGTTTTTCAAGGTCATACCAGTAATACTACTTGCGCTTAGTTAAAGATTTACTTCCTCTACTTCATCCTCCTCGGGAACGTCGCCCTGAATCGCGTCTTCTTCCCCCAACAAAATGACATGGAATTGCTTATTGCGACATACATGGCCCAGTGAAAACCTCTCATCGCAGCAGAAGAAGAGTTCTCTCCGTCGCTTTTCGTTTTCCTCTTTCTCGGTCAGTCGTTTGAACCCTAGGCCTTTGCGGTGTGAGGAAGCGGTGAATGGGTCATGAGGATTATTTTGATTCCCTTTCGTCTCAACCTGGCTGCTACTGGGGCCGTTAGAAACCCTAGGCCCAAAGGAAGGAGTGGGTTCGCTCCTTCTGGTCTAGCTTTGCCTAGGCACGTATTGGGCTCCGCTTGTTTTAGCCCAGTATAGCTTATTACTCGTTGACCCACTCCCTTTAAAAGGAGGCCCAACACCTTGTTTTTCTCTTCGACTTTCTGTACCATCTCCATCATCTTGTTCAAGTCCTCGGAGTCTCTCAACAGTACCTCTGCTTTGATTTCTTCTTTCAGGCCGTTGAGGAAGGCTCCAATCATAAATTCCTCATCAGCAAAATGTAGCGGAGCAAAGAATAGCTCGAATTGTTCCCTATACTCCAAAATCATTCCTTTTTGTTTCAGTCCCATTAAAGCCTCGTAGGGATTCTTCGATGATGACGACTGGGCCTGTCGGAACGCTGGCCAGGTGGTTGTTGGAACCCGCAGCTCCCACCATTGATACCAGTTGAGCGCCTTCCCCTCCAAACATACCACCACCGTATCCACCTTCTCTGTTTCGAGAATGCCATTTATTTCAAAGTATCGCTCTGCCCTGTACACCCATCCATAAGGATCATCTCTCGCGAAATAGGGCACTTCAACCCGCTTCACCCTTTCCTTCCTTCTCCAAGCGTCACCCTCACCATTGCCACCTTCTTGGTTATTGTTTGCATCTTCTCTTTCTGCCCTCATGACTTGTAAGGCCAACTCGAACCTAGTCGTCATTGCCGTCATCATCTCCTCCACTTGCCTCCTGAACTCCTCTTGCATAGCGACTTGCATGCCTTCCAGTCTTCGTTCAACGTTTTCCAACCGATTCTCCATTCTAGTCGAAACTATCAGGCACTCCCAGGATCAGGAACTCTGATACCAACTTGATAGGAACTGAATGTATTTATGGAATTAATACCAAAACCTCAGGGAATACCCTGGTAGTACAAACAGAAAAATGAAATGGTAGAAAGGTAACAATGATGAAATGGAAACTTCTCCTAAGGCAGCAGCCACCCCCAATCACCTCCTAGATATTTCCTACCTCTTCACCCCGATCATCTACTTATATCCCTCCCTCAGCCACTCCCTCCCTACTCCACGTCACTCAATTTGTTATTCTGTTAGAATCTTCCCTAACAGCCTCCCTGCCCACAATCCCTTTTTTACCCTTCCTTCTCTGGTATGTTTTTAGTAGAGGCTCATTTGGCTTGGACCCAACACATTGGAATTAAAATAAAACCTGTCATGTAGCAATTATTGGTGTACGCAGTTATGTATTCAGAATGTAATGTGTGTTAATGACAGTTACAAGGGAAGAAAGTTACATGTTCAGAATATAATGTGTAATTTCAAATTTTCTACATGAATGACCGTTATGGTAATCTTTTCTTCTTTGAGGACAGAAATCCTACCCTGTAGGAGTTTCTGAAACTCTGGACAACAACATAAATTGATGTACTTCTGCGTTTTATTACAATTCCTATCAATTCATCAACAGCGTTCTATCATAAAGCCACTAATTTCCTCATCATAATTGATCAGAGGTTTCTTGTCAACTACACAATCATGCTTTCTAAAACAAATGCAAAAAAATATAACAAATTATTTTCAGAGAAACATACTAAAGTGATAAACATGTAACTTTTTGTTTAAGCAAGATAATTTGTAACAGTGTCTAATTAACTGAGACAAGACAGAAGCCCATGAAATCTATGTTCCCTAAAGAATAATCTCACCTACTGATACTGGACTTTTGTGTGTGTGTTGGGAAGGGGGGGGGGGTTTACATTACTGATATAGCATTCTCAAGTCAACAGTTAGAAACAAACTAACCTGCTCCAAGGTAAGATTCAGATCTTTTGCAATCTTCTCAGAGTCCCGATAAGAAATTTTTCCCCTAAGATCATCCTTTGCTACACGCTTTAAAAGCTCAGCACGTTGTTCAGCTGTCATAAGACGAGTAGATGCCCATGAACGGAAGCGGAAAAGCTAACAATATAAACAAAAAATTACCATCTTTAGTGTTTGAACTGGTACTGTGGCATCCAAAAATAATATTAGGCTGGAATCTGATACAAGGCATAAAAACTGAGAAGCTTTAAAATTGTCCATGGGAAACAAACTTGAAGATTACCTCATGGACCACAGATCCAGGAAATGCATATGAAGCAGCTCTTCGATCAGCAGTAGCATAGCAATACTCCAATGTTTGCCAATACTCATCAACTGCATCTCTACTAGACAGAATAAAATCATGCCTAATTCTTGGTCGAAGATCAAGAGATATAAAATTTAAAGATGCTGCATCATTTGAAAGGGGTTCCTCAATATAAGGCCTAAGCTCCATCATATGAGTAAAAGTATGAGCGGCTTTGATTCCATCCATAGAGTGCATATTGGTAACCATCCGAATCAGCTACACAATAAATCCATGTCAAGCATGCATCATTAAATTTTACTATGTAATATTAATCATTTAATCTTATTATTTCTATTAACATGCTGTTTTTGAGTTTCAGAATAGTTTCCTACTTTCCATTTTGGTGGACTCTTTGCCCTCTAATTAGCAGTTTTTTTTTTTTTTTTATTCTTTCAGAAACTTATTTTCGTAGTGGGGAAAAAATGAATATATTATCCTACATATGCCATACAGTACAATATCATGTAAAATAAAAGACGAAGTTAACTAAGTCAAAGGTTTAATTCCATCTGCAGTCAACTTGCACTCAAATAAAAATGTGACACAAATTCCTTAGCATGGATTACAAGAGGTCAAATAGCTATCTTAAGAATAACTTATATGTTTCAGGAACCATGAGCAGGAATACAGAATAGGTTTATCAGTTTGTGACAAACTTAAAATGCCTGAGCAATTTGTTAACTAAAATGGCTTTCTTTTCCTCCGGTTTTCTTAAGTGACCCATCATCATTTTTAATGATAGAAGTGTAGCCAATCAAGGGAATAACATATTAATCGGGAATATAGTTTTTCAACCAACATGACTACAGTATGTCAAGGGATTGATTGATATATTTTTTTTTTAATTTTTGTTAAAGATTACTCCAGTATGATAACTGGTTGAATATTCTATAACTCCCAGTCCCACACCTAAAAAAGATGGAGCCAGCAAAACCAAAGCAATTGCTAAAGATAAATTTTAAAGCATTCCAATTAAAAACAAAGACCTCAAATTTAACCCAACAGTCAACAAGAATACCTTTAAGCGCCGTAAAATGTCAATAACTAATGATAGCCTTCCCGTTGCATGAGCATCCATTAAACACCTGTACTCCTCTAGAGGAAGATCAGAGAGTCGTAAACCCATCTTACACTTTTCAATCATTTCTTCATATTTTTGAGTGGACCCAACAACTTGTAAGAATAGTTCAATTGGAATTTCTTTAATAGCTGCTTCTAGAGAAAATAGTTTGCTGCTACTATGAGGATTATCAGTTAGCTCATAGACACAATTTTTAGATGATAAAGCATTCTGGCTTGTCGACATATGCAAACAATCCCAAAGAAAACTGTGCAGAAGCTTTGCACGAATCATTTTTGCTAATACAAATCCATTAGCACGCATAGCTTCTGCTCTACCATCCCGCCCATCTGGAACTATAAGGCTTTGATTTTTCTGAATATCATCCATTACAGGTATTAATTCATCATTTTTCTGACACAAAGTACTTTTGCTCCGAATATAATTATTAAATGATCGCACTCTATCTTGAATTTCATCAAATAACTCAGGAGATAGACTTATGGATGGATGCACAACCACCATGCAATCTTTTGTCCTGGAATATTCAGAAATAACAGGGGAATGTACTGTAATGCATTTAACCTGCCCTTGATCCTGAAGTTTAAACAATATTCGGTCAATAGTCTTGCGGTCCAATTTTGTAGACTTATCCTTCTCAAAGCTACTAAGCCACCTAATTATCTCGGGTTTCAAAATGAACCTTTCATCCTGCATGAGTAAAAACATAAAAATTGTCTTAGCAACTGAATAAAAAATTAAAGGAAATAAGCATTTGCTTCATTACCAACAGGATTAGGAAGGAAAATAAAGACAAAGACCTTTAGTCTTTCTAGTATCCTATTTGCCCGTCTAGTGCTATCTACAGTGAAAGATAAACTTGCACATCTTTGATATGTTCCAGTAGAGAATGGTTTCATCACATCAGATTGAAAAGCTCCTGATGGTGCATTGTCTGCCTCCAATGATGAACTGGCCAATGTGCTTTGAGAAACAATAGCCCTTTGGTCAAGATCAAAATCTTGCAAGTCTGTCGGTGTTTCTACAAAGTTTGACTGTATATTTCTTGGAAATACACAAGATAGTTCTGCACCAATTCCTGTTTCTTCCAATTTTGCAGGGTCAGCAACTTCTCCACTAATAGTTGAAGTCTCAAATTCAGATATTATTTTTGAACTGCCAGGCACAAGTTGGTTTAAATTTTTATTTTCATCAAGCTTGCAAATAAGTTCAACTTCTGGTTCAGGATTGAAATTTTTAGAAGTCCAAACTCGGATTGTCTTAGATTTTAAGCATTGCTCTTCCTGCACTTTCATTCCAAATCTATAGCACAAATTTATCAGTCGAATGTGATTCTTTTTAAGGTCAATCCCAAGCCTCTCACAGATCTGTTAATAAGAAACATCCAAATAAATTAAAAGTAAAAAGGCAACAATATGCACATTTAAGGATGCATCATTGAGCTCCAGCCCCAAAAATTAAACTCCATTTGAAGAGCGAAAAGAATGAAGCTCATTGCAGTTAAAAAGTTCAGAAGTGTATACAGGACAGCACAGTCCCAGACAAGAGAAAAGGTGTGCCTAAATACACCTTGTTTATAGAAAAAGAAATTTCATAAGAGAAAAAGGAGGGAAGATACAACATGGTACAGGATAAGATACTTTCCAAGGTTTAGGGTAGAATAAAAACAAGAAAAAGCTAAACAACAAAACATTCCAGGCAAGCCTCCACTGTTCTCTGCATATCACCAATAGCATCCCCCTAGAAGCAATGCTGAGCATAGAATAGAAACCACAAACACAAACACAGTCCCATAAAGCACTAAAATAAGCAGAACCCCATCGGTTCCCATTATTGGGAAGTAAAAGCAATTATTCCATCTAATTTTTATTTAGGAAACATTTCCCCTTTTTTATCTGTTACAATGGACCTTACCATAGAAATATTAAATAAAACCATCAAAAGCTTTTTATGCTATCAGAGACAGTATGTAAAGCTGACCAAGTCACCTAATCATTTAACATCTATATCTGACAAGAACATTGCATAGACAGAACTAAGAACACAGTGAATCTTTAAAACAGGGATCAACCATGCATACCCCAAAAAAAAAAAAAAATTGTGTTGTCCAAATAGTAATTTACTACTGGATTGATCATAATAAAAACCAGTCCTGGTGAGCATAAACATTTGGCATGGTTGGTTCCTTGGCTTATCTTGGGGCCTTTCCACTAAGAAACCAGTGGTTTCAAAATTGTCACTTACACTTTAAATTAAACTCCATCACAAGGTTTGGGTGAGCCTGTGCCTCGTCCATGCCTCAAACTAAAAGAGCATTTACATGATGCAACCAACCCACTCAAACAGTCAAACTTCATCCTTACCATCATGGCATCATCTCTACAAGTATATCACACTTTATATAAATCCACTGCAGTCAGTGCCATATTAAAATCCACAAATTACATTACAAAATATCTCTGCTCACATTTCTCTAAACAGCAACAACATAAATATATATATAGAATTCATCAGGAAACTTATTAAACTGATTTAGAAGGAAATAATCCACCTTTGATCCGTCTCATGCATCAATGAGCTAAACAATATAAATCACTGACTCTAGTTTTTTTCCTAATTCTTTCTCTTTTCCTGGCATTGACATTTTTCATGTGTCATCAAAGAAGAGAATATAAGAATCAAAAGTGTACCTCCTTCAGAGTAATGCCACATGAACCTGCGGAATCAATAATATCAAAAATTTGATGCTCAATAGGAAGCTCTACAAGCTGATCAATAACTTTCCCAGAGTTCAACTTCTTATCTTCATTTACATTTCCAGTAGTTATTGGATCAAGAAGCTGCAGGCAAGCCTCAATCTGCAAACAAGTAAAAACTTACATCTATAATATCAATGCAACATAGTAAACATGAAGTATAATAAAAAAACAGAACTAAGGGAGCTGAAAAAAGAGGTTTGGTTTCTCAGACAGTCAATATTAATCTCATGAGTCATGACATGAATAGTGGAGACTTTATCATCACTGCCATATTATTGGGAAGGATTGTGTTGAAAAACAAGATGAATCTGGTTCATTCTTGGAAAAGAAGCTATTGTATTGCTTAAAAATTCAAGGATGAAAAGGATATTGCAAACCAAAACAATCTGATTTTACCTTAATGTTACTGTTTATTTATTGATTTATATTTGACAAAATAACGTGACTGCTAAGTGGAATTTGCTTCCCATAAGGAGATTTCTAATGCATCCCAAGAGAAACATTGTTTCAAATCTGAAGAGACTTAAATCACCTTTCATCAAACAGAGTATAGGGTATAAAAGTTGTTAGAATATCTAAAAATATTATCTTATCCTATAGGATTAATTACCATGTTTCCTTATCTTATCATGATTTATTTTCTTAATTAGATAGGATTATGATTAGCACAAATAGGGGTTAGTGCTTTAGGTTTTCCGTTCATCCAAAAAAACATCTCAACACATTGTCATACATCAATTCTACTTTAACTCTCTTCTCTCCATACCTAAAACACAACAATCCTAACAAAAGTAAAGGATACAGTTGTTATAAAATGATACAAACTAACTAACCTTGCCATTCACCTTAGCATTAAACTGCTTCACAATACCATCTGCTTCCAACCTGTGAGAAATCTGGCCCCACAAGAGGCAATAAGGCAATTTGAACGAAGCAGAATACAAAATCATAATTTTATAATGTTCACAAGTCGGAAAACATACCTGTCTCCAAGCCCTTTGTCTTGGACGCGATCCACAATAACCAAGATCCTTCCTAATATCAGACACAAGAAGAACCTAAAAGAAAAAAAAACATTGCAATAAAAAACAAGCATTTATAAGTTTAGTCGGTTGGTAACTTCAAAAAAATTAACGAAAATGAACCTTGCCATTGGCTTTTGCAAGTTTGTCACAAATAGCTTTCATTTGAGGCGTATAATCCTTAAGAAGAACATGTGTTTGAAGCGTGGTTCCATCTGCATCCTCATCCTTGGCGTTGAATTTGTTAATTTCAAATTCAAACCTGCGATTAGAGGCAAGATGTTTGGCATAGCGATGTAAGTACACTAAATGAGTAGTAACACATGGATAATTTTTGGATTCACCGTGAGAGGATATTTGTTTCTTCCTTTCAATAGCAGAGTGTTTTACAATTAAGCCTTGACACTCGAGACTACGCAACACATAATGAAAGTTATTTGCATCAATGTGCAAATGCTTAGCAAGCTGAGTTTGAGTGAGACCATTGGATCTAGCATTAGCGAGAAGGTGAAGAACACGCGTTTGCGCATGTTGAAGAGATTGAGAATCGTAAAGACCTAGAAAATTATCGGCAAGGCTCTGTCGAGCGAATATCTTCAAATTGAGGTTCTCTGCATCTTCTAATTCGGAAGAAGAGGGTTGTGGTTGGAACCTAAGAGTGGGAATGCAGAGAAGGTTTTTCCATATGGCTTTTTTGACGGAAGGAGAGAGATGAAGATTGGAGGATGAGTTCTTAAGCTTCGCCCATAGCGCTTCAAGAGTGAGTCCATTGTTAACTTCAGCACATATCTCTTCCACTGCCGCGTTGATAATCGACTCCATTCTCTTCTCGATTTAGGGATTTCATTGAACCGCCATTAATACAGTATTGCGTTTTGTTACAATTTACAGATTAATATGACATGAACAGGGAAACATTGAGTTCAAGTAATGTCACTGATTTAGCAGAGAAGGCAACACAGAAGCAAATAAAGAAATCAAAGTTTATTGTATCGTTCCAGAGGTTCGAACTTTGATTAGGGAAGGTAAGGGTTCACGTAGTAACCCCCAAAACAAAGTGTTGTGCAAACTAAACAGGAAGGCCAATCACAATCGAATAAAGCTAAAAAAAGAAAACATCAACAAGATCAAAATACAAAGTTAACTTCCAAAAATTTTATAGATTATCTTATCTTAAAATTTAAAAATTAAATTTGAATTGAGATGGAGTGAAACTACAATTATCTCAAATTTTGATTTAACTAAAAAAATAAATATTTTCAATTTAATAAAATAAATTTTAATTTTAAAAAAATTATCCTTTTAGTCTTTATTATTTTTAAAATTCATTAAAATAGTCATTAAATTAATCGAAATTTTATTTTATGTAATAGTTAATTATTTTAATTTTTAATATTTTAAAAATTAATTAAAAATAGTCCTTAAACTAAGTAAAATATATTATGCATACAATTATTAATTATTTTAATTTACAATGTATATGATTATCAATATATTATCACGTAAATATTTTTATTTTTCGTTAATTATTAATAATTGTATAAAATAAAATTTTAAAATGGTGTTTTCAACGGTTCAAGGATTATTTTAATAATTAGCAAAAAAAAGGATTATTTTAATAAATTTTAAAAATATAATATAATATAATAGTTTCATCAATTAAATTTTGACTTACTATTAATAAAAATTATTAGAATAGGATAAAAATTATGTATTTTTTAATTAATTATTTTAAAAATTTTATTTTAGTTCGGTAATACATTAAAGTGTCCTAATTTTTAGAAAAGTATAAACTTTTTTTTAAATAAAACCAATATTTTTGTCAAATAAAAAGACAATATTCATCTAATTTGTTTAAATACAATTATTAGAAATATAAAAAAAATTATCTTTTAAAATAATTCTTTGTTTACAATTTTATGCAACAATCGTTATAAAAATAATGAAGAACAGTTATAAAACAATATCTTAAAACTTGTTAGAACGATTTCCTACGAGATTTTTACAAAAAATTTATAAAAAATATATACAAAAATAGACCCAAGTCTATTTATTTACCCAAATAAACCTATATACTGTAGCAACAATTTGGCCACCTAAAATTTGATTATCAAAAAACCGAATTTTGACTTGACTTTTTTTTCGTTTTTAAATTTTATTTTATGTTTTTATATAATAAAATAAATATTATTATTTAAATTATATTTATATATTTATATTTTATTAAAATAAATATTTATAATATGTTATTCTAATAAATATTTATAAATATTTTGTTAATTATATATAATAAAATAAGTTTTATTATTTGAATTATGTTTATATTTTTATATTATTTGAAAATGAATAAAAATAAAAATAATATTAATTTTAAATGTTTATTAAAATATATTTTATATATTTAAGATAATAAATAATACTTTAAAAAACAATAATAATTATATTTTCAAAAACTAATTAAAATAATTAAATAATAAGTAAATTATTTTAGATGATTTTTAAAAACTAATTAATATATTTAAATAATAAGTATATTATTTTAGATAATAATGTTAATGCTTAAATTATTTATACTTAAAGATAATAATTATTTTTTAAAAAACTAAATAAATATATTAAATATTATTCTGTTTATTTATTTATTTAAATATGTAATTTTGACTTAATATTTTTAAATATTAATAGGATAAAATGATATTTTGAATAAAAATTTTATTTTAATTAAATTAGTTTTTTTAAAAATGACATTATTTAATATTATAATTTTTAATACCCTAAATTTTAAAACTTTACTATTATAATTTTTAATAAATTTTATTTTAGAATAAAAAATTTATTTTTAAAAAGTAAAAAAATATTAAATTATAAGTTAATTATTTATACTAGAGACAAATATTTTAAAATTAACGTTTTCATATTACTAAGGTAATATTGATGAAGACAAAATGCATTAATAAAGATGATAACAAATTCATAACAATATTAATAATTAACTATCTCCATAATGGTGGCCAGTTCCACAATAAGGGCGACGTCTGTGATGTAATGGGTTTTGTCGTTGTGGTTATTGCTCTGGGATTTCATGATCAACTTGTGGAGAATTTGGATCATCATAAAAGTCTAGTTGTTAGAATGCATTTGATGAATTACTAGGTTCATTAGCAAAATCTGGTTGATAAAGAGACTGCATGTAAGTTTGTGCTAAAGATGGAGTTGTAAAATCAAATCCAAATAAGTTTGTAAAAAAATCTTCTAATATTGTTGCAAACGAATGTCTTGTATTAATTATGTTTACTTCTAGCGTAATGTTCGGAGGAATTGATACAATCTTGTGGTACAACAGTGTGGAAGTCATACCAATTTTAAATGTGTTGGTAGTCCTTAGTTGTTGGTCGCTCCTCCTTGGATCTTGTAGTAGTAGTGGCACAGATGAGAAATAGATGAAATTGACAATGTACCATTCTATGTATTCTTATGTGTGACACAATGGGCCTTGCATTAGATGACCCGTTATTGTCAGCTTACGTCTGTTGTTCCATATTTTGATCCATTAAGCATGTCTTGTAACCTAATTTTCATCCTGTCTTTCTCTAATGTCAATTTTATAGAAGTCATTCAAATTATTTGATGGAGAAAAGACTTCTTCGAAGAGACAAAACTGTAATATTATTTATTATCTTAAATATGTAAAATAAATTTTAATAAATATTTACAATTAATATTATTTTTATTTTTATTCATTTTTAAATAATATAAAAATATAAACATAATTCAAATAATAAAGCTTATTTTATTATATATAATTAACAAAATATTTATAAATATTTATTTTAACAAAATATAAATATATAAATATAATTTAAATAATAATATTTATTTTATTATATAAAAACATAAAAAAATTTAAAAATTTAAAAATGAAAAAAATAAAAAATAAAAAAGCCAAGTCAGAATTCAGTTCCTGGGAACCGAATTCTGGGTGGCCAAATTATGGATCTATTTGGGTAAATAAATAGACCCTTGATCTATTTCTGTATTTTTTTTTTATAAATTTTTTGTAAAAATCTCATTTCTTACTATTGTTTATTTAATTTTAGATAATAATTAATAAGTATATTTTATTATATTTCAAGTATGAATTTTATTTATCGTATATAAAAGTTACAAATTTATGTTACTAAATCAATATAATAAAACGATAACAAAATAATCTTTAAAATTTAGACAACAGTTAGTAATTATTGCATATTTTAAATAGTAAATAATGTAAATTAAATATTGTCTTATTATTTTCTTTTAAAAATTTGTATAAATTATTAAAAATAGTTATAAAATTGTTCTTTAAACATATTATAATAATCTGTAACTATTGTCTGTTTTAAATTTTAATTAACAATTAACAATTGTAGTTAATTATATTTCTAACAACAAATGGATCGCAATGTCTCATTCTTTCAAGATATAAGAAAAAAATTAATAAAATATATATTAAAACACAATTGAATAATTAAAGGAAGAGTTAATATTTTTAAGAATAGTTACTAATTTAATCATATATTATTTACATAAATGAAATATTACCTAACTACATTATATTTATAAAATAGTTATTGCAATATATTGAAAAGTAATAAATTAGACTCGTTTATTATTAAATTTTTTTAACTATGTAAAGATTTGAAAACTCAAATCATAAGGACTTCATCAATATTATTACTTTTAAGATAAGTAATAGACAAATTTAGCGTACATATGCAATAATTTTTTTTTTTTTACAGTCTAAGATAACAAGTTAGGAGTAAATTTGTAATTTGAAAGCATAAAAGGTACAATCCAGGAATTTTATTTATTTTGTAAGTATTTTTCTTAATTTATTATCATAAGTATGATTTATACTTGTAAATATATTTTTTAAACAGTAATTTTTAAGTGACATCAACTATAAAAAATTAACATAAAAGGAAATTTATTTTGAAGTACTTGTTAATGGTTATAATTTTTTAAATATCTTAAAAATTAAAAATATATATGTTTTAATTAAATTACTAACTCTATTATTTAGATATATAAAATTAATAGTGATAAATCGTATGTAGCTATTTAAACTATTCATTAGTCACGATAGAAATTAACTTTATTTAATTCTTTCAATCACCTTTTCATATTGCATTGTTTAGAATCCAAATTATTACCTATCGAATTTCAATTCTTATATATTTTTAAGTTTTAATTGAGACGACACTTTCCATAGGCTCTGCATGAGAAGACTCAAAACATGAATCTGAAAATCCTTCCTTGCATGGCGGTGGTGTCACAGTTATTGCAAATCTACGTGCCCTTTTCACACAAAACCATGGATTATAAAATAATGGACGTATAAAATTAATTGGTCATCAATCATATTGCTTTTCAAATGTGTGTGGATGTACTTCTTTATATATTATATATTATAATATATGAAAGTTAAGATATAAATACTCAAATGTTACTTAAACTTCTAAAATTTGTATAAATGTTACTTAGCTTAAGATATAAGTTATGAATATAATTTTGATACACAAATTTTTTTGTCTTGTTAACTAATTAAAAATTATTAATGATATAACTTTTTAAAACAATGAGAACAAAAATCAATAATTTTTATTGACATAATAATTCATGATTAAGTAATAGTATAAAAAATCAGTATATTTCAATTGAATTCTTACTTGTATAAGCAAATTTTATTTAGTTTTATTCCTTAGTTAAATGTTGTTCAGTTTTTCTTAATTACTTGTAACCTTATACATAAGTATAAATTCATAACTTTAATAACTCTTTATTCATATACGTTAAAGTCATTGATAATAATCTTTATTTTTGTCGTGATTATTATATTAAAGGTCTTCTAAAAGGTTATAATAATGCTTATCTTATATATATGTTGTTCATATAGACATTTATTTTGTTGACAATTCCAAATTAAACCAAACAAATTTATGGTAATTTAATTCAGTTTTTCTCAACACCCAACAGCTTTAAATCAAAATATATGATTTTTTTTACCATAAGGAATGATGATCCATGTATATATGAATGGGTACCCCTCATATTGAATCCCAACCCAAACACAAAACTCTAGTTGATGCAATAGAATATGAACCTCAATCTTGTTTCTTAGTTTCTTGGTGCAACACTTATTTTGGTGTTTGTGTCTCACTTCCATCCACACAAAGTTACCACATCTCACGCAACACCTTTTGAAGAAGTCATATATAGTTACCTGAAACATTCAGACACATCAAATAACCTTAAAACCTCACACTAGTGCCGATAACTTAGGCACTGTTTCTCTTCAAAAACGCATTTTTTTCTCCATAAAGCTTCACACACACTCTCTCTCTTTGAAACTGCTACCTTAACTTTGTTGCAATGGCTGACACACCTCCATTGAAAGATGAGCTTGACATTGTGATCCCCACCATAAGGAACCTTGACTTTCTTGAAATGTGGAGGCCATTTTTTGAGCCTTATCATTTGATCATTGTTCAAGATGGTGACCCCACCAAGACCATTAAGGTTCCTCCTGGTTTTGATTATGAGCTTTACAACCGCAATGACATCAACAAGCTTTTAGGTCCAAGGGCCTCTTGCATCTCCTTCAAGGATTCTGCTTGTCGTTGCTTTGGCTACATGGTGTCTAAGAAGAAGTACATCTTCACCATTGATGATGACTGTTTTGTGAGTTTTTCCATTCTATTTTTAACTTTCTGGGGGGTCTTAGTTTTGTTGATTTGGCCAGTGTTTTGAGAGATCTTGATGTGATTTGATTCTTTTGAACTTGGTGATTAATTTCATGCCTCCATGTAATGATTTTGTTAGCAGATTCTTTCTCTGGTGCCTTGGAGATTTTGGATCTTTTTATTCTGCTTGTGTCATTGTTATTTGTTTTCAATGTGTAACTGGTGTTGCTTCTTTTCACTTTGGCCACGGCATGAGTTAGTTCCATGTTTTTATGGTTAACGTGATGATAATCTTCTTCAAGGTGTTTAGTTTGTTAGAATGATGATAATTTGCTCCTGTGTAACTTGAGATTTGGAAGTTTTAAGCATTGTTTGTGAAACCACAAGTTTTAAATTGGTCCATGTTGCCTAGTGTTAATTCTGTCTTTTATCTGTTGAATTCACGTGTCAACAGTGTTGGTTAGATTTCTAAGATTTATGTTGTATATAAAATAATGTACCTTGAATCATTGGTGGAATTCAGAGGTGCCCTGTATCTGCTGTGGACATTGGTTTTATTTACTCATTTTATAATCATGTGTTCTTACTTAATAGATTTCATTAATTTATAATTCTTACTGCTACTTATGCTTCTTTTTTTTTAAATTAAGATTCACTATTTTATTAATTATTTATTTTGTGTGGCTTAGGTTGCCAGTGATCCATCTGGAAAACAGATTAATGCACTTCAGCAGCATATTAAGAACCTTCTCTGTCCATCCACTCCATATTTTTTCAATACCCTTTATGACCCCTTCAGAGAAGGTGTAGATTTTGTTCGTGGATATCCTTTTAGTCTTCGTGAAGGTGTACCAACTGCGGTTTCACATGGACTTTGGCTTAACATCCCTGATTATGATGCTCCTACACAGCTTGTGAAGCCTCTTGAGAGGAACACTAGGTATGTGCTACATGATAATAATGATATGAACCTTAGCTAATAAAAACTAAAATTTATTAGCATATGCAAGTTTGATTCCAAGTGTTGTGATTGTGTATCAGGTATGTGGATACTGTTCTGACCATACCAAAAGGAACCTTATTTCCCATGTGTGGAATGAACTTGGCATTTGATCGTGATCTTATTGGACCAGCAATGTACTTTGGTCTAATGGGAGATGGTCAACCAATTGGACGCTATGATGATATGTGGGCTGGCTGGTGCTGCAAGGTCCTTTCTTTGCTTTATTTTCACAACTCTCTCTTTCTATTTGACCTTTTTTAGTCTTAATCAAGTTTAGTTTGGATGAAATGTTCATTAAATACTTGTAAGAGAATAAATAAGGAAGTAAAATAAATTAAATTTCTTTCAGAAGTTAAAATTATGTTATATATACCTTCAATTTTAAATAAGTTAAATGAGAGTTTATTAACAAAGTGAGGAGTATAAGTTGAACTCAGAGAAACATTATTTTTATTTCTTTTATATAAAATTTAGTAAAAACAAGTGATTATTTTTCAAAATAATTGAATTAAACAAGAACTTGGTAGTAGTTATGTGAATTATAGCACAAACAACTGAGATATTTTCATGATGATGGTTCAGGTGATCTGTGATCATTTGGGGCTAGGAATCAAGACTGGTCTGCCATATATCTATCACAGCAAGGCAAGTAACCCATTTGTAAATCTGAGGAAAGAGTACAAAGGTATATTCTGGCAGGAAGACATCATTCCATTCTTCCAGAATATTGTTCTTCCAAAAGAATGCACAACTGTTCAAAAGTGCTACATTGAACTCTCCAAACAAGTCAAGGAAAAACTTTCAAAGGTAGATCCTTACTTTGACAAGCTGGCAGATGCTATGGTCACTTGGATTGAAGCTTGGGATCAGCTTAACCCTGTTGGAGGCAAAAAATAAATCAATCATGGTTCACAGCCACTGAATTAGAAGTGGAAATTTCTGTACTTTTTTTTTTTAGTATTTCTTTTCAAGTTACAATTAATGTCACTTAAATTTTGCAGCATTGCTAGCTGTAATTTTTTTTAAACTTCATGCTTTGTGCTTAAAACAATAAAGTACAATGGTCTAATTCATTGTTTTGTTGTGATTTTTGTTCCATTGTAGAGATCACAGCAGGACCTTATCATTTGGGTTTTAATAAATTTCATTTTATCTCTCAGTGTCACATCATTCATCTTATCACTCTTGTTATTTTTTCCTCTCTTAATACTTATATGGGTTTGATCTTCCAAGAATCTATTGCTAGCAGTTCAGTAATAGATTAACTCCTATTAGTATAAGTTTTGTCTAAGGAAAATTAAACTCTTAATAAAAGCATTATGAGTATACATTCACAGGATGATATATATATACAAACAATTCTATTGGTATAGAAATTTTATATATATTAATACATGTACATTACACCATGCTAATCTTTCTTTACTTTCACATGATTAAACAGACATACATTATAGTGTAGCTGCAATACACTCAATTACACATATACTCGTCCTTTATGAAATTTGGAAGGTTCTGGCATTGGTTTTATTTGAAATTTGGTGGTACATAAGCAGTATCTAGCTGTATTTTGGTTCCATCGGAAGGATCACATTCTTGTGATCATAATCACTTGTGCATTGTACCAAACTCCGGGATTCACTTTGCAATGCAACTTGTTTTCACATTCGGATCTGTGTATTAGTAAATCCGTACTTTTTTGTCTGCTTTTTCTTGGGATCTGTCTATGTCATTGTTCGTCTAGTTATTCATTTACATCTCAACGACACTGGAGGTGATTTTTGGAATTCGGATACTCTGCGTTCAAATTTTCTGTATTTATTTTTGCATTTATCATTTTTAATGTTTTATTAATTTTTTAAAATTTTAAAATAAAATAAGTGATAGAAATTCATCTTTTTCTCTCTTTAACTGAGGATTCATACATATTAAGTGATAGAAATTTTAATGTTTTATTTACTAAAAAAATGTAGTTGTGATAGCTACTATTGCTGTACATTTGGGACAGTTATTTTCAAAAGGTACTAAAAAGAATGTCAGAGTGGTGTGTGCTGTTTTTTAAAGTTAAAACTCCTAAGGTGTTCCTATTAAATAGAATAAATGCTTGTTTAAAAATATGTAAATATGAATTTAACATAGAAATTATAACTAAGAATATTAAAAGAAATATGAATTTATGATTATGCAAACTTGAATCTAAACATATGTTAAGAGACAGTTTTAATAAAACTGAAAAGAATCTAGTGTCATACATGTGCAAAACATATTTACCACCAATGATTTATGTTGAATTGCAAGTTTTGTTCAATAAACATGTAAATAAACAAATAAATTTTACAATTGATTTACTTAATGATTGTGTATTTTACTTTTTGATGACATAACTAACGAGAGAAAAATAATTTTGAGATATAATTATTGGAAGAAGTAACTATTTCTTTTATGGAAGCAATAAAAAAGAAATGATAGAGAGTTGAAGTAATTCTTCTTGACTCTGGTTCCAAAAGTCTCGTTGCAAATGGTTAGAGTTTGGAGATTGTAACACCAAATATTTCCATGGTACAACCTTAATTCGACGAAGACGCAACCAGATAGCTACCCTGCAGAATGAGGATGGGGTATAGGTTCGTGATCAGAAGGAATTGGAGAATATGGTAAATAATTTCTACCATGATTCGCTGATCCGGGGAATTATGAGCCTTATTGTCTATCTAAATCTTTTCCCGAGTTGGATGAATTTGATTTAGCTAGGCTCGCACGTCCTATAAGCATATGGGTAGTCTTAAGGCGCCTGGGCTTGACAGATTTCAAGTTGCTTTCTATCAATCACAATGGGATATAGTGGAGTCAACTCTTTGCAAATTAATCTATGATATAGAGGAATCACCGAGCAAAATTGTCGAGGTAAATAATACCCTCATTACACTAATTCTGAAAGTGGACGGTGTCACCTCTTTTTGAAATAGATGCGGCCTATAAGTCTATGCAATGTTTCCTATAAAGTGGTTACTATAGTCTTAGCTACTCGGCTCAGAAGTGTGATGGAAGGTCTAGTAAATATAAATCAATGTAGTTTTGTTCCAAATAGGCAAACTACAGACAACATTATCATTACCCAGGAAGTAATTCATTCTATGAAGCACAAATCTAGGAAGAAAGGGTGGATGGCTATTAAAATAGATCTTGAAAAGGCCTATGATAGGCTAGACTAGACTTTTGTCAAGGATACATTGACAGATATTGGACTTCCGCAGGTTTTTGTGGAATTGGTTTGGGCGTGTATCTCTACTCCAACTACATGCTTTGGAATGGTGAAGCCCTAAAGGAGTTTCATCCTTCAAGAGGGATTGGACAGGGAGATCCTCTATCAGTGTACCTGTTTGTGCTCTGCTTAGAACGCTTGTTTCATATCATTGAAATTACGGTTACTTATAAACTTTGAAAACCAGTAAAGATTTCTAGCAATGGCCCAAGTTTGTCATATCTAGCCTTTGCAGATGATCTTATATTATTCTTTGAGGCATCTATGGAGCAAGTGGAAATTATTCAATCTTGTTTAGATATTTTCTGTAAGAGTTCGGGTCAGAAAGTCGGTCACAAAAAACTCGCATCTTTTTTTCCAAGAACGTGGGGTGGGCAGTGAAGTCAGAAATCAACAAAGCTTTTGGATTTCAACGTACAGACAACTTAGTAAGGTATTTGGGAGTTCCTATTCAGCATGGAAGAGTCAATAGCAGGCTCCTTAACTCGGTGCTGACTCATGTCAATCGTAGGTTAAGCAGTTGGAAAGAAAAGTCTTTATCCTTTGCGGGGATACTCACCCTCACCAAATCTGTCATGGCCGCTATTCCTGCCTATACTGAGTTCTGCGTTTCTATCATGGCAACTTTGTGATGATGTTGACAAGCTGTGCAGAAATTTTCTGTGGGGCCATGCTGATGATCAGCATAAAATCCATCCTGTTGCTTGGTCTATCATTTGCAAACCAAAGGAGGAAGGTGGACTTGGTTTAAGAGAATCTTGGCTTGTTAACAAATGCTTCACGATGAAGAATTGTTGGTTGCTTTGCACTATAATGGACAAATTATGGGTAAAAGTTTTGCGTGGAAAATATTAGTGTGGCAACGAGTTGATTCCCGTGGTAACTAAGAGAACAAAGGCATCGAACAGTTGGAGAGGAATATGTGATGCATGGGAGGTTATTCAGAAAAATATTGTCTGGAATATTGGGGATGGCCTAAGCGTTCGTTTTTGGAAGGATGTTTGGCTCCCCTCTCAAACTCACCTGGCGGATTTAATTAGAATACAGACTCCAAAAGAGGAGTACGATAAAAAAAAGTGGCGGTATATCAATCAGGATGGGTGCTGGGAGCTAGATCATCTTCATCATCTGTTTAATCCTAATACATGGTAGGAAATCATTGGTCATGTGCCACCATCTATGGACCATGATCCTGATGTTATTGTGTGGGGAGGTTCATCAGATGGAGTATACTATCAAATCTGCTTATAATTTTATTCGTTCATTTACCTTCTCAGGGACTTTTCAGGTTTATAATCTAATCTGGAAGTGGAGAGGACCGGAGCGTATCCGTTGCTTCCTGTGGCGAGTAGCACAATCCAACTTATGCACAAATGATTGGAGGATGTGTCATGGCCTATCAGTTGATTACTGTTGTCCCAAGTGCTGTAACGAATGTGAAACAATCCTGCAAGTATTACGGGAATGTCACGTTGCTAAAGCAATATAGGGAAATCTGGCATATGGGCCCTTGAAAAGTAATTTCTTTATATGTCCTTTGACTCGTGGAAAATCTGGAATGCAATCAGCAGCTTTGGAGCATCATGTTTATGGTTACGCTGGATTCTATATCGAAGGCTCGAAACAATCATGTGAGATAACCATCAGCATGTTCAGCAAGAGAAGGACGCATAGTGAGCCTATTGGGTGGATAAAGCCTATTGCGGGATCCTTTAAGCTAAACTGTGATGGAGCCATCTCTGAAGCTTCTAATGCATCTTGCGGAGGAATTTTACGAGACAGTTTAGGTAATTTTGTTTTTGCCTTTTCTGCTATGGTGGGTCGGTGTTCAGTGGTCTCCTAGCCGAGCTATGGGCAATTTTTCATGATTTAAAGATTATTCGAGACCATTGTTTTGTTGGCCATATTCAAATAGAGTTGGATTCTGCTTTGACTGTCAAATTCCTCAATGAGGAGTGCTCTAGGAAAAATCTTTGCTACTCCTTAGTTAATCAAGTGGTTTGAATGGCGGGTGACGGACATGATTTCGATTATGTTCACATTTTTTAGAAAAGCTAATCAAGTTGCTGATTATTTGGCTAAGAAAGGTCTTTCCCTCCCAGAAGGAATGCATATTTTTTATTCTCCACTGCTTGGGATGCATTTTTCTTTATTTGCACACGTAGTTTTTAATTTTCGTGTTGGGCTTCTCTAGCCCCCTATGGAACAATATATATATATAAAAGCAACTTTAAAAGTAATTGATGATCATTGAAGAGCATCTTTACTTACCTATGTTATTGGTAAGAGCAAGGATTATTTTTTATATATGCTGTTTAAAAATAATATAAATTAAAATATAGTAATTTTTTAAGAATTATAAAAATTACGTACAGAAATTCAAAGATTAAATAATGAAAAGTTAAATTTTTTTAAAAATTACTGATTTTTCATTAAAAAAATCTAAACTTATTCATGATAATTTTAGAATAAAAAAATTTTAAACTAAAAATTAGTCAATGATTTTTATAAAAAAAAAAAAAATCAAGTACCAAAAAAACGCCATTAACAATTTTTGAAAATTTTTCATATTTTTGTAATATTTCAAAAAAATCATATTTTAATAACTTTTTCCTTTTTTTTTTTCCCTTCTGTTTAACCTAGTACTCAGTTTCCCTATTGATATTTTACAGCTATTAATGCTTCATATACACTTAAAAATGATAAATCTTACTAAAAAATTATGCAGTCCCATTGTTAAGTAAACATTATATAAATCCCCTCGAATTTTAATTTTAAACTATAGCAGTGAATTTCAGATGAAATTTAGATAGAAGTTAAGATAAACAAGTAAACAATAATCAGGTTATTACTTACATCACACTTTTGATTAATGTGGACAATTCTAGATACCAGTTATTCTTAGTGAGTAAATAATAAATAGGTTCAGTTCAAAACATCAAACTTATCACCTGAATCATCACTTGTATCTTTTAAGTGACAAAGTTTTTGCATATATTTTGATAATTAAAAAGAAAAGAAAAAACTATAGCCAGTAGCAATGTCGACTCAAGTAACCAAACATTTTGGACAGCCTTCAGGAACCTGCACACTCAAATTTATTGGCCAAAAAATAATGTCATTATTTTTCCACGGTTTGACATGTATGACACGAGAGTGTAATAAATAAGTAGAAAGCTAAACATGATGACCAAGATTTTAATTTCCTTTTTATTTTTCTTTTTTTGCTGAAAAACATTGTTCACATGCAAGTCAAAGAAGATGGAACTTCAACTATCAAAAAACACCAAATACAAATTCACTAATACAATATTATTCCATACAATACAATTTCCATAAGAATTGTAAAAAAAAAACATTTAAATGTATAATTTGATGCTAAGTGCCTTGCTCTTCCATCAGCATTTTGCATAATTGTTACTTGAGAAACAAGGCAATTGTCTAATTCATTGACTCAGCTCACCCTTGTGTGCAAAATTTAGTGAAGACAAATGGATTTCTTTAGTAACCAAAAGCATAGAATTCCATGACCTCTAGATTGATGAAAATTAATTTCAAAACCTTATTTGTGAACTAAGATGTGATATTATCTTCAGTCCTTGGCCTCTTACTTTTAGGTTCTTCACTGTCTTCCTGGTTGAGAGCTCCATTAATTGCTTCTGGACCCAAAAGAGACACATGTTTGCTAGTAATTTGACGTCCTGCCCTTAGCTTTGGACCCCAGTGTCTCTCAGGATTTGGAAGAAAGCGTGCAACTTTCTTGGCTTGTGCCTTGCTAAGAGATGCTACAGCACGAGCAAAATTTGCCTATAATGGACAGAGACAACAAAAGTTTTAACCACTATCACTATACCAAAATCATGTCCAAATTCATGGTTATTGATCATGATCCAAATATGCTCAGAGGCCCTATTATACACTATATAATAACTAAAAACAACTGATATAAATTGCAAAAAAAAAAATCTCATAGCATGCTATTTTATGGTTTTGATCAAAATACAGTTAATAACTTATTGGAACAAGTTTGTTCTGCTAAGTGCTAAAAAATACCATACCATATTTAGCCAAGCAAACAATTTTAAAAGCACAAGCTTCCCATTAGGCTTGGCTCACTGAAGAGACGGTGGCCAATCTGCTGTTTAACAAGGAACAACACCTATCACACAGTAACTACACGCTACCATTACCATTCTCAATTCTCACCCTCTTTTCATCCCCCTAATTCTCCAACCATGAATGTGCACAAATCATGAAGACACATCTTAGTTATATATTATTCCACATAACCTGTTTACATAGCCACCAAATAGCACACAGAATAAAGGCCCAGGAATAAGGGGAAGGGAGAATAGTCCTACAATTTTGTATGAGAATAAAACTTGAAGAGTTAATATACCTGAAGAACTGGTTCCTTTGCAAGTATGGTAGTTCCTGGTTGATCCGCTGGCTGAGGCTTCACCGGATGGTTTTTTACCTGTAGTTGGAGGGAATCAGTGAATGAGAGTAAAAATACAAATCATTCATTATGCTTTTGGGAGAAAAAGCTTGAATTAATTATGAAGCAAATAAATTTGAGTCATGCAGTCATTAAAAGGGGCAAAGCATTTTATATACAAATGCCAACCCATACAATGAATAATGAACAAGCCTTAATCATGTGCAGTCTCTTACCCAGCACCGCATTATGTCCCAAATAACATCCATGGGCGCATCTGATTTAAGCCCCAATGGATTAACATGAGTTCCAGATATACGGTAGCCTGCATTGATCACAGCAGAACGAAAAATAATTGCTGAAGGAGAAGTGCACTTAAGGGTTGCACAGAGGTTGTGGAGACTCAAAAAGAGGGGAACATCGGGCAATTCCTGCAAAGAATACACACATTACATATTAGAACAATTGATTATCCAATAAGTTGTATCACATGAAGAAACAGACCACACATCTGAATCATACCATAAAATGTTAATGTTATGAGCAATTTGACATGGAAAAACACACACCTCTGATATTGTAGTCAACACAGCTGATATACGATCATAAGCAGGATATTTTTCCTTCATAGATTTCACATCAGCTAGTATAGACGACACCCATTCTTGGTCATGGATAGGAGCAGACCATATAGGGCCACCCATATTGAACTTTTTCCCACAATCACTGCATTCTTGAGGAACAACAGGACCATAGCCAGGCAAATATCTGACGCTGGTATTCTGAAAACATAAAAATCAAAATAAGGTCTTCCTCTCAAGATATCATTGCAGTTTACTGTCAATGAAAATAAAGCAATACACTTAAATGGCGATGCAGGCTTCATAGAGTACAACATAACAGCTCTTTGGTCTGCTACAAATAGCATTACCCCATATCCCTCTAAACACAGTGACCTGGAAAAATTAAATTTAGAGGTAACCACACAAACCTACCATGAGGTTAGCATTTATTACACTTACCCCCTTGCTTTGTAATTATTAATAGTATTTTGGGCATGGTTCATACATACAAGGGGGGAAAGATTTTTATCCAGTTATTCTTGTTCGTATGCACATATTTGGTGGAGACAGAAATAACAATCTCATGCACAAATAAGAGACTGATGGATAAAATATATTAGAAAACAATTTTTCCCTCTCCCTATACAAAGATAAAAAAACAATAAATTTTGGTAACCACCTGTACAACTTGACAAGGAACATCCATACTCAGCATTTTATATACTCACCCTCCAGTTCATGATGTAAAAGTTACATGAAATATTAAAACTAAATGATCCCAGAAATTAAAACATCCCACTGTCACATCCATGAAGAACAGTGTCTCAATCCCTGGTGACAAGCTATATAAGCAACAAATTAAGAATGAAAGATACAGATCACAACAGATATATTCACACCAGACATGATACACTCACAACAACATCAAAAAGTCAACAGCTTTCACATTTACAGGGCCGATTAGAACAGCAAACTAACATGGTAATAGATGTAGTGATGTACAAACTACAAAGAAGGTAGAAAATTGTAAATTAATTAATATGTTTTCAAATTGGGTCCTTGCATTACAGATACAAACAAATATGATTGTCAATGTAAAGTGGTGTTGAAATGGTGGCTATAAGAGACTAGAACAAGATACACACCTTGGAGATGGTCCTCCCAATGGGCTGTAGGTGGAACGAATCACAACCAGTGCACTGATAAACATAAGAAAGCTTTAGGGGAGTGTTTTTCATAGCACTGGCAGAACTGCAGACAAGTACTTCTTCAGTCAGCATTGAAGAAAATGATATATAATGTTAATCATTATTTCACCAAGACACTAACAAAATATTTGCTAAAAGACATGACAGCCAAACTAGAGAACTTACGTATATACACGAACAAAAACACGAAGATAAAAGTCCATCTGAACAGATAGCACAGGAACAATATACCGCTTGTAACGATTAGCATGACTCTGCAATTTAAGAACAACAAAAATTACTAGATCTATACTTTAAAAAAATGTATAGATATTCAATTGGTCCAAACTTTTAACACAATATATTTGGTCTTTGATGTTTGATTGGCTATATAATATCAACCTAGGCATCCAAATAACAGGAAGATAAAAATTTGTATTAACAAACGGTCAAGATATTATCAGATTATCTTGATACATCTCGATATGTATTCAGGAAGTACAGGACTTCTGTTTTGGGATTGCATATACACCCATAATTCTTTTCCAGATGCAAAATAAAATTGTATCATTTTCTTATTTTCCTTTCGTCACCCCCATCAAATTGCTCAAGAATATAGCCTTATCCCATCAAATTGTAAAGAGTTTCAACATTATATATAATTATATATTAATATTATATATACTTATATACCTCAATGCAAGCCAGCACAATCCTCAAGGCCATTTCATGGCAATATTTTCCTCTCAGGGGGTATGATCCATATCTGGTATGAATAAAAGTTGTTAAACGTTCAATCCACCAATCAAATAATTGCAGAATGGGAGTTCACAGAAAATAAGAGTATTAACATTACTTTGAATAGCAGACCTCCCCATTTCCCCCACAGAGCACAGCCATATCTGTTGCTGTACACATCAGCATACCTCCATCGACAACAGATTGAACTGCTGAATCCAGAAACACAGAAGGTGAACCATAGGGATCAAGATCAACCTGAAAAAACAGCACACATAAAGACCATGAAAAGTGCATTTCCATTTAGATTAAAATGTGAAAACATGTACATAACAGTAGCTTCCACTTACCACGTCAAATTCTTTAGGGTGAGTTAGCATATATACACGAGCATCAGCAAGATGAGACTCCACTTTTGAAATTGCTACGGAACCATTGAATTTGATATTCCTTCTGCAAGCCTCAACAGAAGCTGCCAGAGTAAAACATTTGTAGTAAGCATGCAGTTGCATTATCTCAAAAACAAAAAGGAGCAATTATAAGCACCCAAAAGAGCAGACCAACCATATAAAGGCAGAAATTTCCATGCTTAAAAAGAAAGAATAAAATCCAAAGACAAAATAAACTGAAACCCTTGAAGCACCTTTATCATTGTCCAGAGCAACAACCTGACCAACCCCTTCTACTTCACGAGCATATCTGAGAGACCTTAGCCCAGAAGCAGACAACGCCTGTATGCATGAAAGAGAGCAATTATACACATGATACTTGTTCTGGAATCATATTCCACAACAAATTTAAATTGAAATCAAAATTGAATGGAAATGATGATGATGACTTGAAAGAGTAATATAAATGAAATCTACAAATCATTGAACACCTCAAGAACTCTTGGGGGCTTCAGTTCTTTCTTTCCTTTTCCTTCTGAAATATTGATTAACCCTTCTGTGGTGCTACATTCTTCATTGACCTTGACTGAATCTTCCACAGCACTGCACCGTTCTTCTGGAGATATCTCTTCCTCTACTTCACATTCACCATTAGATTTATGATCTTCTGATGGATGCCCATTAGGTACTTCCTCCACACCCAATTCACAAGAATCATTATTTTCAGACACCTTTTGTGCCCCTTTTGTTCTCTTGGACAAATATGCCTCATGCTCTTGCATCCGTTTTGATATAAAGGTTCTCAAAACAGCAATAGATATATCCCTATTATTAACCTAATAATTTACAAAGAAGAAGCAACAAAAAATCAATCTACACTAAACAAAATTCCAATTTCTCTCCGCACACAAAAAAATAAATAAACAGAAGAACTACATAGAAACATACAAAAAGAGAATGAATAACGATTCTAGCCAATAAAATTTAACTAGTAAACGTCTTAATAATTCTACTAACAAACACAGAATCACCAATAAACTTCATCTCAAACAATTCATAACGGTTTTAACACCATCCTACTACTCAACTTTCAAAATCTTTCTATCATGAAACAAATTCAAATATGTAGCTGATAAAGGGAGGCCAAAAAAGAAACCTTCAACAGGATTTCAAACATGAACGAACAAAAACAAGAAATTAAAAAAAAATAAAAGCAAACTTTAAAACCTGAGTTTTGTTGTAGAAGACTTCATTTTTCTTATGCATAAGAATCTCAACTTCTCCCTCCTTAATAATTTTATAATCATCAAGATCCGAAGACATTGTGCTCATATCATGCAAAAACAAATTCAGGGTCGGCTTCTCCTTCTCCTTTGCTTGTTCTACCCTTTTGGTACAGAAAAAAGACCAAAACTTTAACAGAGAAAAAGGGTTTGTCCCAATTCTAGTCACTGTAACGAGCTTCAGTAGCAGTTTCAGAACGTGCGTTTGTGGAACCAACATAATAGCAAGCGGTTATATACATGGTTTTCAAATGGGGTAACTGAAAACCCTACTCCCAAATGTTTTTCAATTTCTCTTTTTATTTTCTTAAACCCTAATTGCAATTTCATGCGGTGTTAAGTCAAATTTACTAAGTTGACCAATTCTTTTTATTCCTTTTCAATTTCTAAATTACTACGTATTGCATTTGACAATGATTTAATTATTACGTGTAATTACTTTATTTAATTTAATATTAATCTTTTCTTTTATTTTAAAATTTTAATATATTAATGATGTTATTTAATTTTATTTATAATTTTCGTGTGTAAATTTTTATTAGATATTTATTATATTTAAATTTATAATTCAGCACATGTCTTCATAATTTATTATTTATGATTTTAGTTTATATTTATTTTATTTAAAAATATAATTGTTTTATATAATAACAATGATAATTTTAAAGAATGATAATTAAAATAATTAATAATATAAATTTGAGTAATAATATATAAATTATTAATTTAAAATAATTATTAATTAAATATTAAAAAAATTATAAAAATATTATTTAAAATAATTTGTAATAGTGATGAATAAATTAGTCCTTAATTTTAAAATAATAATGACTAATAATCATTTCAAATGTCATATATATTAATGATGAATTATTTTATTACTAATATTTATATATATTAATAATATTAATTTTAGTTATAATAAATATTTTATTTTAGTGACTATGTAATATCATCACAAATATAATAGCTACTTAATTATTAGTGACAATAAATATGACGAATTTAAATATCGTTACAGAATTATTTTAACAATGACTTTTAAAGCTTTTAATGATAAATATTATAGTCACAAAAGATGTAATTTCTTGTAATAATTTTAAAAAATTACACATGATAGATTACTAATGTTACTTCTCCTATCTCTAAGTATGGTCCAAAAACTATCATTCATGTCCTCATAAATTGATGATATGCTAAATAAGTTTGAAAATAATTTATTCTTCTTATTAATAATAATAATAATAATAATAATAATATATTATTATTATTATTATAGAGTGGATAACTTATAATCTCTTTAATTATGACTTTAATAATTTTTTTTACTAAAATATGTTATTTAGAGTTGTTATATGACATTTGATACATAAAATTTTTTATGATTTTGAATGCAAGACTGTGACTAATTTTATAAATAACAAGAGTCAAGTTAGATGACATTCTCTTCTTGGACAACTAAAATTGAATGTCATGGCTCAATTTCTCAACTTTTGAGAAGCTGAGTTTAGTAGATTAATTTAAGTTTACAAAAACAACTTTATTGTTAGATAATATAATAGTTTAGAACCTTGTTTTCCTTTAGTAATTGAGCTTTAAAGAATTATTAAAGGGTGTAAAACTAGTTATATAAAAAACTATTGATCTAATTTATATTAGTGTGACTTTAAGGAAGTTATTTCTATATTATTGTCTATTTAATATTGTAATTATTTCTTTTTTTCATTGATTAGTAATATTAGAACTTTATTAAAAGATATTAAGTTTAATTAGAATTAATTATTCTCTTGAACTGAGAGAAATTAACTAAAGTGTTAATAAGTAAGTCAAAATTAGAGTAGAAAAGCATTTGTCTTTTAATTATTTTTTAAAACTTTCTTTTTTAGATCTTTCTTAAGGCTTGATGTTTTAGGTAGGAGCTTTTTAGAACTCTTCTTGCATTTGGATAAAAAATTATACATGTTTTCATAGTAATTTAAAATGTTTATTAGAGTGGATTCAATGTTTCTTAATATGTATTTTTAAGTATAACATTTAAGAAATTAATATAAGAAACAAACATATATTTTTACATGTATAAATTGCTAAAATTTTCTTTACACTTATTTATTATGATATTTGTGTTAATTATTTATTACTCATTTAAGTAAATATATTTATTTATTTAAGATAAAGGTTAATAATTTGACCATTTTTTAATATAGTTGTTTTAATGATTTTTAATATGTATTTTCAGATATAAATTAAAAAAATTGATATAAGAAACAAATATCTATCTTATATGCCTAAATTTTTTCTCTACTTTTATATATTAAGACATTTATGTTAAGAAGATATTTCCCTATTATGTGAATATAATCATTCATTTAATATATATCTCTTACTTTATCATAAATAAATATTTTTTTCAACTTTCTTATTCTTTTAATATTAAAAATACATTTTTATATATCCTTTTAATACATGTTATATGATGGATGATTATTTGATTAAGAATGCACAATCGTATACGATGGTGAGTGAAAATAAAAGGTAATATATATATGCACATAAGATTCATTATATTTTATATCCATTGCTTCTATACCGTATATTTTTTCTACATCTCATCACGTTATAAAAATCCACAAATATCTATAATTTTTTAATAATTTTTTATGAACTGTAATTTATAAAAGAAACTATTTAAGATTTTTTCAATAAATTTATTCATTATCAAGAAATAAGATCATAATCTTAAAATATGTTTGATTTATATTTTAAGAATAATTTTTAATTTTTAAAAATAAATTATAATATAGATTTGTACTATAATTTATTTTTAAAAACTAAAAACTATTTTTAAAAAATAAATCAAATATATCTTTGGTTTTCTTATTAAAAAAACACTATTGAATTATAAAAATTACACTATAAGAGACAATACTTCCTTCGCCTAGTTGAAACACAGTCAGGAGGTGTTTTAACTTATATTCCTACTAATGTAATTTTTATATTAAATGACTAAATATTCTTATTCGTCGATTTATTCAATGTTGGAATCAGACCAACAATTAATGTTAGTATTTCCGTTTTAAAGTTAGATCAACAGCTCAAATTAAAACTATGAAATAAGTAGCTGGTAAATTAAAATTGAAATTAACACAATTCACAAAATTAGAAGTTTTTGCACAATTCACGTCTGATCTTAATAAAGCTACTCAAAATTAATTGGTAAGAGGTTAACGATTGGGCGAGTTGCTTAAACAATCTCAATTAGCCCCCTCACTTAGAAGAACAGATAATAACTATTTATACTAGAACGAATAGTTATCTTGATTCATTAAAAATTGGACAGGTAAGTAATTTTTTTTATTAAATTATGTACTTACCTAAAAATAAATAAACTCCAATTCAAAGAAATAATATCTTCTATCAAGACATTTAATGGAGAAGAAGCTCTTTTGAAGGAAATTATTCAAGAATAGATGAAATTTTTTTTACTTCAGGAACAAATATAAAAAAATTGATTAATAACTAAGATCATGATTTTTAAATAAATTTTTTTATTCTTAAAATTTTTTTTATTGATATAACTATTAAAGTATCTTTTAAATGAGTTTTGTTAATCTTAATTTTTAATTTTTAGGGTTGAATTTAAATATCTATAAATAAATAAATTTTATAAAAAAATACATAATTATTATATTAAAATTATAAAAATATAATAAATACTTTTCTTTGTAATAAAACTTTATTATTATTAACTGCTTAATTTTAACAAAACTCTTTAAATATATACTTTTCTCTCATCCAAAGATCATTGACACAAGCAAAAATTCAAACTTGAATCTACGTACCCATGTCAAATCATGTAACAATAATAACATTTGCAAAACGTATCAATAAAATATTTTCAACTTTAAGAATTAAAAAAACTAAAGAAAATAAAATAACATATTATCTGAAGACCTAGACCTTATAGCCATATTATTTTAAAAAATTATATGTGACTATTTATTTTGCATTAAAAAAATGAAAACTTTACCCTTTTTTCTGTAGAGCTTGTACCCATTGTTCCTATTCACTAACAAAGAAGGACGGAATTAAGGAATTAACCGATTATGGATCAAATTATAAAGTAAATACAAATTAATACTTTAAAAATACTAGTTAATAAATAAAAATTTTAAGATATTATCAATAAACATCTTTCGTAGTTAGTTTTTGATATAATTTAATGTAAATTTTAATTAAAAAAGTTATGTTCAATATCTTAAATAGTATTTTTAAGACACTAATTAACGAGACTCAAATAATAACATTTAAGAATTTAATTACTTGTATATTAATATTTCCTCTCTTAACTCAAATCTCAATTTATTAATACACTTATATTAATTCCTTTTTTTTTATAAATTTTCCTTTTTACCCATAAATTAAACTACCTTTATTTATTTAATATATATATATATATATTCTATTATTATTTTTAAATTTTGCTTAAATTTAAAATTTGTTGTATGATATATAAAATAGTATTCCTAGTATGGTTTTTATTTTATTTTATTTTCCTTTTGATCAACAGCGCCTAGTATTTTTTTTTTCAAAGCCCCAAAACTATTTTCTCACTGGATAGGATTTGGTCTTACTTATAAGTTTTAATTCCTTAACCAACGCCCTAAGGATTTTTCTTGCATGCTTGCTTAGTTTTTAAATGTTTGTACATTAAAAATGGAAATTTTAGTTGTTACAGAAACCAAATTCTTTTAATAATAATAATGATAATATATAAAAATATTAAATTTAAATCTTTCAGTATTTTTTTATAAGAAGTAATTATTGTGTTTTTCCTAAATTTAAAAACAAAAACCCATTTTTATAATTTTTTTTTAATTTTTTGAATTCCTGTACAATGCTTTAAACATTGAAAGAAAGAAAAATATCCGTATACACGAGGCATTGCATTACCCTCTAGAATTTGGTAATAATGAGGGTACAAGAACTTGATGCCAGCACCCCATAAACTTGTTCTCATTATATTAATAACATTATTAAGAAAAGTTAACTTGCAAAGTTTGCATATCAAAATTTGGTGAACTAAGTAAAAGGCAAGTGGCAAAAGAGAACAAAATAGAATAAAATTTGCAAGTCCTAATAGAGGCATGAAGCAGTTAAAATGTCATTTTTTCAAAAGGAAAAGAACTCACTAACGGTCCCTTCCTTGCTTGCTTGCTTCAAACTCATTTCAATGACTCAATGCAGACAAAAAAGCAAGCAAACACCCTTCAAGATTACGTTCACAAAACAGGTTGGTAAGTTTAAGAGTTTAGTTTTTATGGGAATGGGAAGAAAGAAAAATAATCGATAAACATCACATTTAAATAGAGATAAATTTTTTTTTTATAAATGTGACAAATATTAATATATCATATTTATTTATCAAATACACGTAAATTTAATATAATTTATGATGTATAACAATCCAACAAAGGACAATTAGACATATAATATGATATGAAAAAAATAAAATAAAAAAGTCAAATAATAATAATATTATTAAGTTATTTACAAATAAAAATTATACTTAATATTATCCAATTTGTGGTCACAAGATGACTATAATACCACTTTTTTGACATAAGTAACTTTTGATATTTTTTTTATGCACAAAAAATTTGGAATTCAAAAGTTGATCCTTTTAATTTTAAATTTTAAAGTAAGTTTTTTTGAGTTGCTTGTGTACAAGAAAGATAAAAAGTGAGAAGAAAATAATTATATATAATAATACATACAAATTATAATTTTTTATGTATAAATGATAAAACTATAAACTAAATAATTTCCCATGGTGGTCCAATATAATATAACGACTTTAAGTAGTTGTTTAATCCCTTTATATGGCTATGCATCTCAAATTCCGTATGTGCAAGAACAACATTTTATTTCGTCTCAAGCCAAATTTATTATTCAGAACTTTCTACATTTCAATCAACAATCATTCTTAGAAACATTTGAAAGAAATGAGAAAATTGTACTTGCAAAGAAGAAAGGGAAGAAAGATACTTTTAGAAAAAGTCCTTTCTATCTTTGGAAAAACCTTATTTCTCTTTTCACTGTGTCAAGTTCCTTAATCAAAGAATTTTCTTTCCCTTCCGACACAACCGTTGATGTGTTATGTTCACTCTTACATGTCTGTTGTGGTCTGTAGCGGTAGCTTTAAGAAAGGGAAACTTAAACAGAAATCTCAAGTGTGAGACAGTGATATATAGCAATAAAAATGTGCATGTTCTTAACAACCATTAGGTGAGACACCACAAGAGAATTCCCTGGAAGGTTCTTCTTCTACTACATTATACATTCAATGCTATGCATAGCATTTGGTCACTAAACAACTCTCTATCTTGATTTTTTTTGTCACTTGAGCTGTCCAAATTGTAGCAGTTGATAACATCAAACGCAATATTCAAGCAATGAGGCTTGTCATCTCAGCTCTTTGTGTTCTTGCTTTATTCTCTTATGCAGGTGAATTACAAAGTTTAACTATATGCTGGTTTTGTTTCACTTGCACATGCATATTCAACTAAAGTTTTAATATTTATTTTATCGTAGTTGCTTATGATCCTTTGGATCCAAATGGAAACATAACAATCAAATGGGATGTCGTGTCTTGGACCGCAGATGGCTATGTGGTAAGTACAAAGTGCATTGCTATTTGTTTAATAGTTCTTAAGCCAGTTATCATTGGTGCCATAAAAGATCTAATTGAATGTCACAGTATTGTTAGCAATTTATTGTACAGCAATGAAATGCAGGGAAAGAAACCAAATTAAATGTTAGAAAAGACTATCAAAAGATGTTCCTATTACAACTAAACATTTAAATCAAATTCTGCAGTCATGTATTGAAATAACCTTTGTGTAAATTGCATTTTTTATCAGGCTGTGGTAACTCTCAACAATTTTCAAATGTTTCGGCACATCATGAATCCTGGGTGGACCTTGGGATGGACATGGGCTAAGAAAGAAGTTATATGGTCCATGGTAGGAGCTCAAGCCACAGAACAAGGAGATTGCTCTAAGTTCAAAGGCAACATACCTCATTGCTGCAAGAAAATTCCCACAGTTGTGGACTTGCTCCCTGGTGTACCTTACAACCAACAATTCACAAACTGCTGTAAGGGTGGAGTGGTGGCAGCATGGGGCCAAGATCCTTCACAAGCTATCTCATCCTTCCAACTCAGTGTAGGACAAGCTGGTACGTCAAACAAGACAGTTAGACTACCCAAGAATTTCACTCTCTTGGCTCCAGGACCTGGCTATACTTGTGGCCCTGCAAAGATTGTTCCTTCCACCACTTTCCTTACACCGGATAAGCGCCGCAAGACTCAAGCACTGAGTAAGTTCTCTTACTTGACAATGATTCAATTTAGATAAACTTCTCAATAAATCTTTATAAGAGTTAAATGTTAAGTATTAAAATGATAAAATCAGCATATACTTTCTCTGTCTTTTAGAAGCTATCTTATTTAATTTTTTTAAAACTCATAACATATAAGTTTTATTCATGTTTCATATTAATTTTTTTCTCTCGTTAGTACTTATCTAGAAGTTCTTATCTAAATTGGGCCAATTTCATTTTCTTCTCCAACTTCACCATCAACAATTCTCATAAAGTCTCATTTGGTCTTATTATTCAATGCAGTGACTTGGAATGTTACCTGCACATACTCTCAATTTCTAGCTAGAAAGAACCCAAGTTGTTGTGTATCCTTGTCATCCTTCTATAATGAAACCATTACCCCTTGTCCATCTTGTGCCTGTGGCTGCCATAACAAGAAGAATTGTGTGAAGTAAGTTTGATATTGCCAAACAATCTATGACTTTTAACATATTATTGTAAGAGAGAATTTCCAATTAATTTTTATCATTATTGATATGGTATGCAGGAGAGACTCCAAAATTCTTAGCATGTTGGGGGTTCACACTCCAAAGAAAGACAATGAACCATTGCTGCAATGCACTCATCATATGTGTCCAATCAGGGTTCACTGGCATGTGAAGCAAAACTATAAGGACTATTGGCGAGTCAAGGTTGCCATAACAAACTTCAATTACAGAATGAATTACTCTCTCTGGACTCTTGCTATTCAGCATCCAAATCTTAACAATCTCACCCAAGTTTTCAGCTTTGATTACAAGCCTCTTCTACCCTATGAGTCCATAAGTGAGTATCAGTAAACGGATCTTCTTAAGCTTCTACTATATCACCTTTGGTTCTATGTATAATATATTTTTGGGAAGTTTGTTATAGTCTTTTTTTTTATATCCCTTGCAAATTGTTACTTGCATTAATCATATTTTAGAAAATTACCCTTAAATGAGGTAAATCAAATGAAAAGAGAGTAAGACAATAGATTTCAGTAAATTTTAAGGATAGTTCTGAAAATAAATATATAAATTATGGTCTATTTAATGCTATTAACATTTCTTAATTCTTATGAAATAGTTAAAAGGGTAATATATTTAGAATTAGAGGTATTAATTCAAGAACTTTAAGAATGATTAATCAAGTGTGTAATCATTATGTATGCAGATGACACTGGCATGTTCTATGGCATGAAATATTTTAATGATCTACTAATGGAAGCTGGACCAACTGGGAATGTTCAGTCAGAGTTGCTTCTCCAAAAGGACAAGGATAGATTCACTTTCAAGCAAGGATGGGCTTTTCCTCGCAAGGTCTACTTTAATGGTGATGAATGCATGCTGCCACCACCTGACACCTACCCTTTTCTCCCTAACACTGCACCAGCAAATCTATTTATCTTCCAAGCATTCATTTTCTTATTGTTGCCTTTCTTGCTAGTAATTTGGTAAATTGGTGCATAGTGTGTCAGAATTATTTTATGAAAATTTTGAAACCATGTATACCTTAACAATGATAACGTGACAATAGGTATATATATTCAAGTTATTCTTTGGAAACACCAAGCCAATCTCATGGCTGTGTTTTTTCTGACACGAGCACCAAACGGATGCTAAATGTAAATCCCAACAATGATTTTGTCTAAATCGTAGATTCACGAAACTGTTAAGAAAATGTCATGAAAGAATAATTTGTTTCTATTTTGTTCTGCTCCAATTAAGTGACCACAAAGAATAAGGAACCGTTAATTTTAATTTCATAAACTCTTTTGAGTCTCTGTTCTAATAAATTTTATAATCAAATTTATAAAATAAATCCTCCTGTAAAAACTGAGTAAATGTTTAATTAAGCAAATTGTTTACCCAATCGCACCCTATCAGAATTATCATGTCAAATACTTACATATGTTTATGAATTATTTCATTCCGTGTATACCTTCATATATTTCTTATACACAGATCTAAAACCAATAATTACATCAGTACACTAAATAACAATATAGTACTAGCAAATTCAATTGCCCCAAATACCGAAACTTAGCAACAAATCATAGGACAACTGAGCTACTTTTGACTTGTCACAGCATGTCATACTCCTGCTTGGTTCAAATTCCAAATTGGAATCCCAAAATTGGGTCAAAACTGGTTAGACTAAAATCTTTTGATGCCAAACTGTGTGGCATGGAACTTTAAGCATTTGCATAAAATACCAAGGCCACCAAAGAAGTCATCATCAAAGCTAGCAGAGAAACCTCTTGCCGAGAACCAGTGTTAGGTAACCATGGATAAGCATCAGGTGGTGGCATCACACAGATGTCACCATTGAAATAGATCCTCCGAGGGAATGCCCATCCCTTGTCAAAAGTAAAAGTTGATTTATCTTTTCTGAAAAGTAGCTCTGACTGCACATTTCCAACAGGGCCAGCTTGCATGAGAAGATCATTGTAGAACTTAATTCCCCAAAGCATGGCTGTATCATCTGTTAAAAGCAACTTAGATCAATCATTTTTGTGCCTCTACAAAAATAAGGAGTAAAAAGATGCTCTATGGTGAAAAACAAGAATATATGCTGCTCATGTACTGATTAGTATTAGAAAATTTAGAAATGTCAATAACAAGTATAACAAAAAAAAAAAAAAAACTGAAATTAATTACTTTGAAGTATATGCAATTGAGATTTGGTAAGAAAAAAATTAACATAAAAAGGAAACATGATAGCAAATATCAAAAGGAAGAAGAGATTACAGTAGAAGATAATCTCCAATTCAAAAAGCTGTACTCTTATCAATTAAGTAACCATCAGTATTTTGTATCTTTAAGATTGAAAGTCATTGAAAGAGCACACTTACTTATTGACCCATAGGGCGTTATTGCCTGGTAGTTGAAACTGAAAAGTTGGGTCAGATTGTCAAAGTTTGGATGTTGAACAACCAAGTTCCAATCAGAATAGTTCATCCTGTAATTGAAATTAGTAATAGTGACCTTCACACGCCAATACTCCTTGTAGTTAAGCTTAACGTGCCAGTGAACTCGGATTGGGCACATATGACTAGTACATCGAACCAAAGGTGCAATATTACTCTTTCCAGGTTCATGGTTGGAGACAACTGATTCCAAATGTGATGAATCTGGACTGTAACCACATAAAAAGGGACATATGTGAGTGTATAATATTTGTTTCTGTTCAGAAGAAAATCACAGCGCCTTGAGTATCAAAAGCCTACTCTACACAGTTCCCTGATTGAGATGAGTTGCCCTGGCAGCCACATGCACATGTTGGACAGGGTACAATAGTATCATTATAGAAAGATGAGAGGGAGACACAGCAAGTGGGTGTTTTCTGAGCTAGAAATTGTGAATATGTGCATGTCACATTCCATGTCACTGCAATAAATCAGAGCAATGTTAAGGTCAAATTAAATTGATGGGTCTTCTAATAGGAAGTAGAAACTAACTTGGACCAGAATTTAAACCAAACTTTGGCACTAACCAAAACTAAAACAAACAGCTAGTTATAAAATGACCATAAAATTTCATTAACTTACTGAGTGCTTGAGTCACTCTCCTTTTGTCTGCTTGTATGAATTGTGTTGGTTTCACAATTTTTGCTGGCCCACATGTATAACCGGGTCCTGGTGCTTTCAAGGTGAAATTTTTTGGCAATTTAACAGTTTTGTTAGTGGTACCACCTCTACCCACACTGACTTGAAATGATGCAACTGCGTTGGGTTGATCCTGTGCCCATGAGCTGAGTACACCACCTTTGCAGCAGTTAGCAATCTGTTGATTGTAAGGCGTTCCGGGGAGTAAATCCACAACTGTTGGGTTCTTTTTACAGCAATGTGGGATGGTTCCCTTAAATTTTGAACAGTCCCCTTGTTCAGTGGTTTGGCCTCCCACCATGCTCCATATTACCTCCTTCTTTGCCCATGTCCATCCTAGTGACCACCCAGGCGCCGAGATATGACGATATTGTTGGAAGTTGTTCATTGTAACAACAGCCTGTCCATTCAATTGTTTCTTAGAGTTAGACATCTAAATAACTAGTGAAACAAAAATGAATTCGATCCCTTATAAATGGATCTAGCCATTACCAAATAAACTCATTTGTATACTTGAGTTTAATCAATACTTTTACAACTTAAATAGATAATACTAAATACAGACTTGGAAACTCAATGAAAATGGCTCAGAAGTGTGGTTTGAAATTCAAACCATCATATTCCTAATTGGAACAAGATAAATGCTAACAACTAACAACATACTCTTTAACACTGTTCTTGTTGAGTGAAATTCCCGCATAATCCCCTAAATAGGAAGGGACCCACACAATTTCAATGGGCCCGACAGAATTTCACCTAAATTGCTGGCATTTTTATTGGAACAAAATGATTTTGATATTCAATCTTCTAAACAAGTAAGACTGGTATATACCATACAAGATGAAACTGAAGCGAAGATACAAATACATCAGAGAATCACAACAGATGTGCCCAACTAGTAGAGAGAAAAAGAGCTAAAAACATTTTAAAACCTTGTCTAATTGTAAATCAAATGATCATTGTAAAAGAATGTACTTACAACATAACCATCAGGTGTCCAGCTTATAATATCCCATTTGATTGTGATATTTCCATTTGGATCAAGTGGATCATAAGCTTCTGAAAGATAAACAGACAACAAATTAATTAGAAGGAAAGAAAAAGAGGGGAAATAAAGTAATCAATGAACCTTTAAATCCTCCATAACATACTCCACATTAAACAACAAATACAGTGGTGATATATGTGAAAGATGCGATAGAAATTATGAGACTCAATTTCTGGAATTGCTAAGCAATGGACGAAGATAGCAAAACAAGCAAACATTTTTGTTCGAGTCAACGGTCAATTTGTCAGTTTCTGACCTAATACTACCTTACTTTTGCATATTCGATTACCATGATAAAGAACTAGAAGCTATCAACAACCTGAACAGGCTAATTGCTTATACATTTATTTTTTTCCTCTGTGCCAAAGGAAGAGGAGGAGGAAAAAAGAACATAAAGCTTTTCGCGTGACTCCATGCAAACTCAATGTTATATCAATTCTTATACAGCATTTCATAACAAGACAGATAATCAAAACATCAATTTCATTGCTTGGTACAAAACTTTAGACGGAAATCAAGAAAGAATAGACAAAGGAATCTAAACGCCATATTTAATTTCCTGCTAAAACCATTGGCATCATCAAAGAGGGAAAGCCGCCAGAAGCTAACAAAACTTTTTTTTTTTCGAATTTGGAGAAAACCCATCACCTTTCGCTACCCTTTTAAACAATTACAAAGAAGAAAACTCGCCATCAATCCAAAACATTCCTTCGAATTCAACATACCGTAAGGTCCACGCCATGCACAAAGGAACAACAAAAAGGACTAACAACAAAAAAAGCAAAAACTGTTTTGCACTGCCACCCCATCAACCACAATCACACAACCAACAAAAAGTCCAAAACTTTGATGAGAAAAAAGCAAAGCATGAATGCAGGAACCTGTTAAAGTGAAGGACATCGAAGAGAACAGAAACAAAAGGAGAATGCATGGAAATGCTTTGGGGAAAAACCGGATCATGGGTGTGAAGAAAAAACAGAAAAGCATTGATCTGGGAACAAAGGGAATGTTGGGGTGTGGTGTTGAAAACAGACTTGTTGCTTTGTGCAATGAATGTAACGAGAGAGAAGAGTGTGAAACTAAAAAAGAACAGAGGAGAGAGAAAGAAAGAGTCTGTGTGTGGAAAAAATTACGCGGCGGAAGATGACTGTTTTGTTGTGTCCAGTTGGCATGTGTGTACACAGTGTAATACATCGTATGCTTGAAATCTAATGATTCAAATGGCACTGAATCAAGCAACCTCCACAAATTTCAGTACACTTCACATTTTTTTTAGAATTTTTATACAATAATAAAATATATTTAAATTTATAATTTTATTAACATTAAAGTTTAATTTAAGATCAAAGTTCGTTTTTTAATTTTTGTATGATATATATTAAAATTTAAAATATTATAAAAATTATAAAAACATAAAATTCAAAAATCACTAATACTAATTTTTAATGTAAGTAAAAACATTTAGCGATATAATAATTAAAAATATTAAATATTAAATCATAAACAAATTTTTAAAAAATAATAAAAAATTAAATCACCAAAAATTACCTATGACAGATTATTATTTTTTATATTTTTATAAATTTTTTTAATTTGGTACTTATGTTTTTTTTTTCTATATATAAAAGGATTTCTTAAATTTAAACATTTAAAAATAATAAAATTTTAAGAACGTGGGATTAATTGTTACTTAGATCTCTGTGAAATGATGAGTTTAAAATTTAAATTTCGATGCTATTTGTTTATTAAATAAAATTATATTTTGATCGTATACGTTAAATATATCTGAAATTAATTACTGTCCATGCGGATTAACAGTTTTAATTTTTTAAATTAAAAGAGAAGGCTATATCTGTGGGTTTTGAATGCTATATTTATTAAGATTTTTTGTTAACAATTATTAATAAATTAAATTATAAATTAATTAGAGGTGATTTACCATCATTTAAAAAAAGTTTTGATTTTAAAATCTTATAGTTAAGTTTTTAATTATATTCTTACTGTATAGAAATATCTCAACGAATTTCCAATGAGAGATTAGCTTTAAATGCCATAAATGAAAAAAAAACTGTTAATATTAAAATAATTTTTAAGGTATATAAAGTAATTATCATAAATTTAAAAATTTTATCTTTAAAATAAATTAATTGAAGCATGTTATTAAGATATTTTATATTAATTAAAAATTATTTTAATATTAACAATTTTAATACGCGGTTACCAGCTGTTTTTTTTATATGTATTTTTTAAACACAACTAAGAAAGACGTTTCTGGGTGAATTGTAAATTTAATGACAGCGCCTGATTTATAACAATTATGATATTTTATATATATTTATTAACATTTTATTTTTACTAATTTTTTAATTTATCGTTAATTATATTTTCAAATATTTTAAAATTTATGTTTCTTACGTCGATTTTATTCTCTCGAAATTCTATAAAATTATCATTATTCATCTTGTATTTTATTTTTTAAAAAAAATTATGAATATTTGTTTTCTCAGACTTTTTGTTTATTTTTATGTGAAATTATCATCATCATCATTATAGCATTTTATAACAAATAAATAAATAATTTAGATATTAAATAGTATTATATTTCTATTATAAAATTCCTAAATTAAAAATTATTTACATAAAAATACCTTTGTTTTATTTTCTAAAATTTTCTGTCTTGTAAGATTTCATAAACACACAGAGGGTATACAGTTGATGACATTGATGCACACATCGACAGCTCATTAACTTTAGGTTTAATTAACTTTTTAAATTTAAATCAGAAATATTTTTAAAAAATATTTAAATTCTGAATTTTGTTGATGACATAGGTGATGCATCATTCCATGGGTGAAAGTCTTGCCCCTGTGATGAAGACTTTATGAGTGGAAGCTGTGAGAGAGCCACTTTTGGTCTTTAGGAGGCAACTTTTAACTTACTTTGCTCGCATGTTTAGAACTTTGCTTATTAGATAAGTAATGTTATATCTATATTAGAATAGAAAATATGCCCTTGCATTGAATGATTTGTTTTCTTTTATTAAATTAATTTATTTTAAAAATATATAAATATAATAAAAATTTTATTTGTCAAAATAAATTATTAATAAATAAATATTAATATTAATTTCATATTTTTATGTATAATATTTATATTTTGATTTATATCTTTGAAACTAATTATAAATTCACAAAATACTAAATTTTTCATTAAGAAACACTTTTCTTTACATTTGTAATTGAGTGCTATCATAAAATTTTTTAAAAGTATTAGAATTTATATTCTAATATGAAAATTTTGAATAATATAGTTAGAATATGAAATTCTAATAAATAAATATAATTTGATATATTAATATAAAAAAATATTTATAACATTTTAAATACTAACTTTTATCTTTCTTTGATTGAAAGTCTTTCAATTGTTGTAAATATTTAGATTTCATGCTCATAAAAATTTAAAATAAATGATATATATATATATATATATATATATATATATAAATTAAATATAACATTTAAATTTAATTCAAAATTAAAACGTTATATTTTCTTTATTTATTCATTCATTACGATATAAAATTATTAAATATAGAAATAAAATGGTTAAATCATATTATTTTTTATTTTATGATATTTAATAATGTTTAATTTATTTCAATTATTATAATTAATTAATTTTAATTGGAGAATTTTGAATTTATCATCATCATCATTATAGCATTTTATGAAAAAAAAAATATTGCAACAAAATCATTAAGTATAAATATTTTTAAATTTTTAGTTAAAAAATTAAATTTGTCATCATAATTATTATAATATAAAATATAAATAAAATATTATCTATGTTAATAGGTTATACATAATTATGATATATCAATTTCTATTAAATTATTTTCTAAAAAAATTAAAATAATAGAATAAAAGAAAAAAAGAGTACTTAAAAATTTTCAATTAAGATTTAGGTAGAAATTAAAAGAGAAGAATTGTTATATCTAATATAAAAATTAATCTTTATATCAATTAAATTTATAGATGTTGATATAATATAAAATTTATGAATCACATATAATATTTGTCTAAGAATAAAGTCAATACATAATATATATAATAATAAAGTAAGAGAGATATATATAATAAAATAACAAAATTATTTTATAAAAAACTTAAATGTTTGGTGACATTTTACTTTTCAGATTCTAAATAATATTAAAAGTATTTATATAATACTGGAATAAAAATAGTTCAATTTTCTAAATCTTTCATTTTTATATTTTCTATATTTAATAATTTTATTAAATCTTTCATCGTTATATTTATAATGTATTATATTTTCTATATTTTCATTGTTATATTTTATTTACTTATAAATTACTGATCTAAAAAATTTAAACAATACATTATAAATTTTTAATTTGTTTATTAATTTTCTTCTTCTTTTTGTCAAATTTGGTGTTTCTATAGTTGAAAATATAAGTAAACAACTTATTGTTAAGTCATTTTCTTTTGTATTTGTATTGTTTAAACCTTATTCCTTTTTAATTTGTAAATATGAAATAATAAAAATTAATTTATTCATTATTGTATTATAAACATTATAAATGAAAGTAATGAAACTCTAATTTAATCTTTGATATTACCTTCACTATCGATATCATAATTTTATTTACAGTGAAACCTTGTTTTCCACAACTTTCAAAGTAAGTATTAATTTTTATTTGAACAATATGTGAAGTGTCAATAATATTTAAAACTTGTTATTCTCCTACAACATCATGAAAAACATAAAAGTAAATAATTCTTTGTGATCAATATAAGAAAATAATAAGAGATTTGATATAAATTAATCAATTAAAAATAAGATTCAATACATTATGTTATTTAAAAATAATATGACTTTATGCTTACTAAAAAAAGATAAATTAAAATATATAACACAATTTAGTGAAATAAAATAAAAAATATTAAACTTGAAAACACATGTATTTACGTGGATAGGTAATTATTGACTGTTGACATGGTTGCAAAATATAAAGAAAAAAAATGACAATAAAAAGGACCTTGAGTAAGTTTTTAAAAGTTGTATAAATATGACTTATATAAGTAGAGAAAAAATCCTTCTTAAAGATATATGAAAAGTTAAAAAATAAAAATTAATATAATAAAAGTTGTCTTTTCATTTAAAATTTACTTTAATAATATAATATATAATATAAAACAATAATTCACTTTCAACATATATTTTGATTTTTGATTGAACTATATATTATATTTAACTAATTAATAAAATTATTTAAATATGTAAACTTACCTTTTCATTAGAAATTTAATTTAATAATATATAATATAAACTAATAATTTTATAAATATATTTTTATTCAAATTATATTTTAATATTTAAAGTAAATATTGTAGTTAATTTTAATAAATGGTAATTTAAAGCAATTTATAGTATGAATATTTATGTTGTCATTTATAATATAACATAAGCATTAATTCTAATAAAAAAATAATTTATCAAATCTAATAAAGATTCTTTAAATATAATTCAAAAATAATAACTATGAATAAAATATAATTTCAATCGGTAAATTTTACGTTTCACATTTTAATACATAGAGTAATAATTAGATGCGGTTAATATAAATGACTTTATAGATTATGAATTAATTATTTAAATACATTTTATCAATTCTAATCAAAATTCTTTAAATACAATTCAAAAATAATAAGTATGAATAAAATATAATTTCAATCGGTAAATTTTACGTTTCACATTTTAATACATAGAGTAATAATTAGATGCGGTTAATATAAATGACTTTATAGATTATGAATTAATTATTTAAATACATTTTATCAATTCTAATCAAAATTCTTTAAATACAATTCAAAAATAATAAACATAAATGAAATATAATTTTAATTCGTAAATTATACGTTTAAAATTTTAATGCATAAAATAATAAGTAAATACACATAAGAGTAACTTTATAATTTTTAAATTTTAATGCATAAAATAATAAATAAAAAAATTCACATAAATCAAGACCTTATATATTTTAAAATTTAGTGTATAAAGTAAATTAGAATATAGACATAAGT